GATATTCACACGACCCTAGTAATAGCGTTAGGGAATTGTTTGCATATGCGTAAATCTGATATAGTTAATTTAATAAAATCATTATATAATATAGTGGAGCTTGGTATAGGTAAAATATTATTATGCGCATTTCCCTACTCTCAATCCCTGACTAATGAACAGAATAAGTTCATTTATAGTATAAATAATTTAATTTATTCGATGACATATCATTGTAATGATATATTTTATTTTGAAAGTAACAAATTTGTTACAAATTATTATATGACGGGAGGTAATTTTTATCTTCCTAAAAAACAAAAAAAGACTATTGCTAGTTTACTAGCGTATAACATTTATGATCCCATTATAAGTAGTATAACGGGTTTAATTAGTAATATTAGTAATTATACTAATAATGTGACATGTGTTAATTTAAACTAACATCTACGACATTGGTTAAGCCACAGGATATGGTCATTATTCATCAAAATATTCGTGGCTTCTCCAGCAAAGAATTAGAATTAAGTCTTTTCTTAGAATCTAACAATGTACGGGTGTTATATCTGACAGAACATTGGCTTAAACAATATGAAATAATTTGTCCTTTTGAACATTATAATATAGCTAGTTTTTTTGCTAGGAACAATGCCATTCATGGCGGGTCAATTATTATTTTAAAAAATGATGTAGAATATAAAAACCGTCAAGACATTGTAAATATTTCTATTGAGCAAACAATTGAACTATCTTGCGTAGAATTAGTTACTTGTATAATAATTTGCGTTTATCGTCCGCCATCGGCTTGTTTTGATTCTTTTGAACTGGCTATGGAGGAAGCATTGAGACGAGTCGCACGGAGGAATAAAACATCATTTGTATGTGGCGATTTTAATGTTGATTTATTATCGGAATGCTCAATAAGCTTAAGATTGATTAACTTATTTAAATCATTTAATTTGCACAATCTTTTTTTAGAACCCACTAGGGTCGCAGGAAATTCTGCCACTTGTATAGATAATGTTTTTTGTAATTGTGAAGTAAAGGTGAAAATGAATTTCGACTGTCTTGGATCTGATCATTACGGACAAAAAGTTATAATTGAAACTAAGGGATCCAAAGGGACTCAAACAATTACATGCAGACAAATAACACAAAAGAATTTGGCACGTTTTAAAAATAAAATTGAACATAAAATATCTAGTGTCATAGTACCTCAATATGACCCGGACATTGTATGTGAACATATTTTTAATTTAATTGAACATGAAGCTAGCAGTGAATTTAAAACAAAAACATTTTCAACTAGTGTAAAATCAAAGTTTTGTGACTGGGCCACGTTTGGTATTTATAAGTCTAGGGCTAATCTTTACGAACTTTACGAAAAACGAAGCTATATATCCGATCCCTTATTTCATGAACATGTAAAATCTTATTCGAAAATATTTAAAAAGGTTTGTCATACAGCTAAGTCTCTCTATTTAGGTAAAATAATAACTAAATCTAAAGATAAAATAAAAGCCACTTGGAAAGTAATAAATAGCGAAACTGGAAAAGTTAATTTTCAAAATAGCAAAATAGCTTTAAATATTAATAACAAATTGGTAAATTCCGACACAGAGGTCGCGCATACATTCGAATCTTATTTTACTTATATTCCATTAATTACGACACAGGCTCTAAAATCTTCCCCGTCTGCTGCTGAAACTTTACTAACAGACAATGTTAGCAAGTCATCAGCTGTATTTAACTTTAGACATACATCATCAGTAGAAATAATGAAAATATTCAAACAACTTAATAATAAAAAAACAGAGGATCTATGGGGTATATCTGTTAAAATACTGGATAGTATAATGGAAATTATTGCGCCCTCTCTTGCTTTTATTTTCAATAAATGTATAGATGAAGGTAAATTTCCTAACATAATGAAAATTAGTAAAATCATACCGCTTTTTAAATCTGGAGATAGGAGTGACCCAATAAATTATAGACCTATATCCATACTCCCAGCACTCAGTAAAATTTTTGAAAAAATAATCCTTATGCAACTTGTCAGTTATTTCAATTTAAATAATTTAATCCACAATAGTCAATTCGGTTTTTCCAAAGGTCGTTCAACTACAGACGCAGGTGCAGAGTTGCTTAGACACGTATTTGCTGCATGGGAAACTAAAATGGATGTGATAGGTGTTTTTTGTGACCTTTCTAAGGCTTTTGATTGCGTTGATCATAATACATTGCTAAAAAAACTTGCTTTTTATGGCGTCAAAGACAATGCTTTAAATTTAATAAAATCTTATCTATCTGATAGAATACAGAAAGTGAAGATTAGCAACGCTACGTCTGACGGGTCACTTGTGCAAATGGGTGTACCTCAAGGATCTATTCTCGGTCCATTTTTATTCCTAGTTTACATTAATGATCTCCCATATGCCATGCAGGATAGATGCGGCATAGTATTGTTTGCAGACGATACTTCATTGATTTTTAAAGTTAATAGAATGACTAATAATTATGACGATGTAAATAGTGCTTTGCGGCGTCTCCTGCACTGGTTTACAACTAACAATCTTATGTTAAACGCTAAAAAAACAAAATGTGTTAATTTCTCTCTATCTAAAAGTTTTAATACTAACTGCAATATTAAATTAAATGACGAATCTCTCGAATTTATAGAATCTACTGTCTTTCTAGGAATCACACTAGATAATAAAACACAATGGGGTGCACAAATTCAAAGCCTTGCAGCGAAACTAAGTTCAGCAGCTTTTGCTGTGCGTAAAGTTAGACAGTACACTGATACTGATACTGCTAGATTAGTCTATTTTAGTTATTTTCATAGTTTACTCTCTTATGGAATATTACTATGGGGAAAAGCGGCAGATATTAAGAATATATTCATATTACAAAAACGTGCCGTTCGAGCGATCTACTGTATGAAGAGTCGTGACTCATTAAGAGAGAAATTCAAAGAGGCAAATATTCTCACCGTTGCTTCTCAATTTATATATTCAAATATTCTATATGTTCATAAAAATCTTGACTTATTTCCAAAAAACAGCAATATTCATAATATTAATACTAGATTTAAAGACAAACTTGCTGTCCCCAAGTATCGTTTAGAAAAAGTTAATAGGTCTTTTATGGGAATAGGTATAAAAATTTACAATAAGATACCAAAGGATATGTTGGAATTACCCTTAAATAAATTCAAAACATCTGTTAAATCATATTTACTGAGCAAAGCCTATTACTCACTAAACGATTACTTGAATGACGAGTGTGCATGGCAATAGTTGTTCATACACTGAATTTTCATTTAATGTTAGACATAGACACCTATATAAATATACATTGTAAATAAACTGGCTTTAAAAAAAAAGTAATTCAATTGAGTTTCTTGCCAGTTCTTCTCAATTGGATCTATACGAGGTTTGTCCGGAAAGTACGTATAAAAGTTTTTTAAAAATTTTATTTTACAATTATTCAGGTAAATCAATTTTATCCCCTTCAAAGTACTCCCCCTGTGACATAATGCACTTGTGCCAACGCCGTTTCCACTGTGAGAAGGCTCCTTGAAAGTCCTCTGGTTGTAGGTTTCTCAGCTGCCCCGTCGTAGCTTTTTTTATCTCATTTATGTCCCCCAAATGCCGCCCCCGAAGTACCAATTTGGTTTTTGGGAACAAGAAGAAGTCACACGGGGCCAAATCCGGCGAATAGGGGGGTGTTCGGTCACCGTAATGGAATTTTTACTCAAAAACTCACGGACAACAAGAGAGGTGTGGGCAGGGGCAGGCTCGTATACCGAACTGGACGGTAGGGAAAATATAAAATTATAATGTAAAAATTTGACATTCATAAGCGGCTAAAATGTCCTACATGAATAAATGATTTTTGAATTTGAATTTGAATTTGAATATTTAAAAAATCGTACAGCAAAATAAAAAATTTGAGTTAAACAATCTTCATATAAAAAGTGAGTGAGTAAATGAGACAGTAGAGATATCCTGAAAAATATTGACAGATTCTTGTAAATTCTTTACCTACCGACTTGTGAAACAATATCACTGTTAAAACATAAAGTTTAAACTAAAAGCGTACTTACTGGCCAACCTTGCTAAAACAGCAGAATATTAGTGTAAATTAAATGTAATTGTAAAGAACGAAATGTAAAGTTACACACACAAGCCCAAGATGTTTAACGTACTAAAAATCCATATTTTCTTTAATGTATTTGCATGCTAATTAAATAAAAAAAATTTGGTCTCATTTTCTCCATTGGTATACTCGTGCGAAGCTGGGATGCGCAGCTAGTGAAATATAAATAAGGTTGTCTGCTGTCGAATTAAACATCCCCCTCTTATGTCGTATTGGGGATCGTGACCGGCCCGCAGAATCGTCTTTTCTCCTATAACATTCCTACATCTGCGTCGGTGTTTAGCGTCGTACTACCCGTTGTGTTATCTAGTATCAAGAGGTGTAAGTATTTTATCAGAATAATTTTTTATGACGTTATTCCTGAATTCTTTTCTAATTCAAAGCATCTTTATTCAAAAAGGCTTATTTACAAGCACTTTTAAATCGTCATTTTTGTTATGAATGTAAGGTTCGGAAGATTGTTATCCGTTGAGAAGAGCCCACAAGAAACTCAACAATTGCTCTTTTAAATCTCTGTTAACAATATGTGTATTTATGTGTAATGTACTATGTCTAAAATTGTATTGTCATTAAAAAAAACCCTTGTATGATGATATGTATTTTCGACTATTAAATATAGCCCTATCATTATTTCGGTACCATAGTATGAACTAAATAACAAACACATTATATTAAGTTTACCACAAGAAATAATACATACCTATTGACTTCTATGAAAATCATGGTCACTGAGCATTAAGCTTCAACTAGTTGGTTCACACTACGCCTGTACTCTAAACGATCACATCTACATAACATTGTATGTCTGTTTGCCAAACCCAACAATTCCTATGCTAATTTTACAACGTATGTTGTTACAGATTGCTGTTTTGATCTATCATGGTAAGTGTCTTGACGCCTACATAGATACATTTAAGATGTGGGACGGATTTTACTACCAGCTATAGGTTTATGGGTTAAGTTCCTTTCTATCCTTTTTATCGCTCAGACCTGGAGGTCCACACTGTTCCCTTGGAAACCATCGTGATGTATTCCTGGTAAATTGGTCCCGGTAAGCCAACTGACTGATGGTACCTCGCTAACGCGCTAACCAATAGCGCGGCGGGGTTATCATTCCACTTTCAACCGATTTCAAAAACGGAGGAGGTTATTATCATCATCATCGTCATCATTTCAGCCATTATCCGTCCACTGCTGGACATAATCCTCCCCCACAAACTGCCATAAAAAACGGTCCTGAGCCACCTGCATCTTCACTGACTCCCTGCAATGCATTTCAGATTGTCACTCCATCTAGTGGGGGTCTTCCTACACTGCGTTTGCCCGTACGGGGTCACCACCACCACCACACAAGAATCTTTCTTCCCATCGGTTGTTGGTTCTTTGATCTATGTGACCAACCCATTGCCACTTCAGGTTCAGGAGAAATATTATAGGAGGAAGGATGTCCATGGTACTTTTCATGTCTATAGGCAACGGTTGCCACTTCTCAACTGGTGGGTCGTCAACTTATTTGCCATTCTAAGTTGCGTAACAAAAATCCATTGTTTGTATTTGTCAAAAATGTAAATCTTAATTTAACATAAAGGCATCCTCTATCATCATCATCTCCTCCCCTTATCCCAGTTATTATTTGGGGTCGGCGTAATATGGTTTTATCCATATTGCTAAAAGATTTGGCTTATAGTTTTACGACCGGCCGCCTACCTGACATCTACCCTCTTTGGGAATGCATTTGTTGGTGGTTTTCGCCACCCACGGTTTGGAGAAAAGGATTGAGGAAAAAAGGAGGGAATGTTGGAAATGCGTAAAGGAAATCACTAAATGAGAGGAACAAGGGACTTATGTGGGAAGGAAAAGGGGAGGACACTGCAGTTGCGGAAAGGACTGGGACACTGCAGTCTCTATATACAAATATAATTCTACAATCGTACCTTCTGTTTTTGTATTTGCATTACTGAAAGGTTATAAATATTGTGAAAAATTATAGGTTTATCTCTGATAAAGATCTCTTTCAGCCAATAATTTTTTTCCGCAGAAATTCAAGTTTTGCTCGGACGGGGACTGCCCTTTGTGGGCGTTAGCAGCACTGCACGCTCTCAGCAGCCTTCCCGCTCAGCTGTTCAGGTCACTCCTTCAGCATGTCATGGAAGAACAGCCGGTAAATAACCAATTTTAAAAAAATCCACTTTTATTATTAATATGAAAATTTGTAAAGACGTTTAAACGATTGTCACTCAATCACGCTTAAACGCCTGAACAAATTTTAATGAAATTTAGTACACAAATAGACCCTATCCCAAACTTACTCATAGAATACTTTATAATTTAAATTTAGTACCCATCATTGATTAGTTGATTAGAATTATTTAGTCGATTGCTTGGCTACCTCTGTCCCATTCGTGTTTCAACCGTGAAGCAGTTGTTTTTGTTGTTTGCATGGCTGTGTTTCGGTTTGAAGGGTTGGATATGGCGTGAATTTACAGGATACAGAGGAATAACACCTGAGTCCTCAGGAATGGCAACGCATGGGGGTATCATGGGCGAAACAGTGTACTCTGTTATGTCCATGGTACCGCTCATGTCTATAGGCGACGGTTACCACTTTCCATCAGGTGAGCCGTTAGCTTGTTTGCCATTCTATGTTGTATAAAAAAAAAAAAGCTTAATTCCGCTACTATTAATATGTATATAACTGCCAACACTCGAAGATTGACCACTATTATTAGCAGAAGCTCTACATCCTTCCATATTAACCTTTAATTTCCATCCATTTCGTCCACGCACGTTTTGCGATTAGAATTAGTTTTTAAATAGATCGCTGCTCAGAGTGTAGTATTTCTTTCCATTAAGTTCCCTTAGTCGCCTCTTACGACACTCACGGGACAGGAAGGGGTGACCCATTCTATGTCGGGTGATCCTTCTATTAGTTTAGTTCAATATAAATTACTACGATTATGTAGTGTCTAGACCGAGGAATAACTACATGGAACAGATAAAGGAAACTAGGTGTCATGTCGTATAGGGAGGTCAAGGATATGGCCTCGGATAGAGCTGGCTGGAGGAAGATGCATGAATTAGTTGCACCGACAAGAGGAAACTGTTAAATGAAAAGAAGATGTAGTGTCTATTACTTACCGCTTAATATTATCGGATATTACCACTTAGTATCATCCGCTTACACCATAAGGGATCTGGCGCGTTGATTCCCAAATGTTATACCTACTTAACTTTACTATAATTATACTATATACTTTCGTATACTATGCTACCCTGTATGTGGTGGTATAGAATGGGCCACCATTTCCTTTCTCATGGATGTCGTAAGAGGCCACTAAGGAAGGACGAGGGATGGGCAGCAGCGTCCCTCTTAAAACATCTCTAAAAGTCACCCCTTTACCAAGCGTGGTAACTACTGCCAAAACTCCCCTTATGGGTAAGGCTCATGTCCAGCAGTGGACAGTTAAGGGCTGAAATAATAATAAAAATACTATGCTATATATTTTGCCTATAATTTTTAACAATTTGAAATCCGATAAGCTAATATTATTCTCAACTGGAAGTCGTTTCCGTTATGAGCTTTCCAATTATTATTTTATCGCTGTATAGTATAACAAGACTCGTCCCTTCCTTCATTACTTTAAATATCGTACCTAGCTATTTTTTTAATAGTTTACTAGATAAAAAAATAATAATATTGCATTTTAATTCGTTTTTCGAGATCGACCTGGTTGGGTATATTGCTAGCAATGGGATTCTTAGTGTCCATTACTAACAATCCCTTTCCCCCAACCATCGTGATTAATTCTTGTCGAATTAGTCACTATGGGCGAACTTACCTTCATCCTCACCAATCTATCACTGATACCCCACTAATGGGGCACAGATAGCGCAGACGGGATAACCATTCCATTATCACCCATTAAAAAAAACTACTTATATTGCAAGAGTCGATTAACATAGTAAAGCTCCTTCCACATGAGTTTTCGTTTATAACATCTCTTGAGGTTATTGTAGGCTCATATTTTTGTAAATACACACGCAAACTCACCTTACCTTTTGTCACGTACAAATAGCAATGAATATGTCACGTAGCCGTGTTTAAATTGAATTTATATCTTTTATGCTAACAATATTTGTAGCTATGTAACTATCAATTTATGACATCTATTTTATATGTGAATATAATATCACTTGTCTATAATATGTACGTATTTATAAAAAAAACTAACTTTTTCCCGCTACATTGTACGTGTAGTTTTAGAAGTAGAAAACCAAGAGGATAGACTATTTCTAAGATGGTTAATGAAGATGAATCATACACCAGTTTTTAAGTCAGACTTTCAATAGTACAACTATGGAAATTGCATTAAATTTGGTACAGTGGTTTTTGCGTGATACCGGAACTAAACTTGCAGACAGGCAAAATTTCTAAATATTATTTTTTTAGCTTATATTGATCTATGGGGTTTCTACCATGAAGCGGTTGTGTTTGCATGATTGTGTTTAGATTTGAAGGGTGGGATATGATAGTAAATTTACAGGGTACAGAGAAATAACCCCTGAGTCCTAAGGAATGACAACGCATGGGAAGTGTCATGGGCGAAACTGTTATGTCCATGTTTGCCGTCAGCTTGTTTGCCGAAATGAAAGGGACTGTTAGTAATGGGGAGGTTAGTCCCCATCGCTATCAATATACCTTGTCGAGTTCCACGCGGTTCCCCCTGGAGACCATAACTGAAAACGGAAATCTGGCTAACTGACCTGCCTTTTCATCGTCACCAGTCATTCCTCACTGGAGGGGCACTAATGTATACCGATAGCGATGGCAGGGTTATCATTCCATTATCATCTATCAAAAAAAGACTCGTGCGAAGCCGGGACAGATCAGTTGTCATCCATAAAACAAAATTAACAATATACCATTTCACGTCATTAATATCTAATCTGTGATATTAGTAAATGTGTTTGATAAATAAACATTAAATAAATGACATTATGCTATGGTCACAATGTTCTTTGTACATTTGATATCACGTACGAGGTAATGGGGCTTCTTTGTGGGGCACTAAGTAGCAAATTGAATAAAATTACTTATCTATAATAATATATTTATATATGAGTATGGACAGACGGAAGTATCATTTTAGGCTAAGCAACGTTGAAACTGCAACAAAAAATATCGTTATTAGAGATCATGCTTGTATAAAGTAATTGCCGCCAAGAATTAACTATTTTAAAACTTTTGCATTCTTGTCTATGTAATAAATGTCAATGTAATAAACTCCCATCCCACGTACAAGAGAGTTCTTCTGTTACCTCATTGATGAAAAAGTTAAAATTACATTTCCTCTCTCTCAATTCGTAAACTTTATTTTTGCGTCTTTCAAATTTAACCATCATATTTCAAAATCATCAAACTAAATTTCTAATGTAAGTAGTATATTATTTTAACATTTATTGTATAAGTACATAAGTATCATATTTATGTATCTATGTAATATATTTATATATATATATATATATATATATATATATATATATATATATATATATATATATAATATTTAATTTAACTGTTAATTTATAGCTTATATTTACTAATCATGTAATTCAAACAGTATTCGTGAACTTTAGACTACCTACTTACAGCCTACATGCGGTCTCACAGTATTGCGTTGGCTGGAAGAGATCTCTTTCAGAAATAAATGGACCCTTACTCACGATTTTTGTAACTGTTTTATCTATCTAATTTCATCATCGTCATCATATCAGCCGTTAACAGTCCACTGCTGCACATAACCTCTCCCTTAAGGATGGGATAATTAAATGGATGGATGGATGAATGTTTGTTATTCTTTCACGGAAAAACTACTGAACGGATTTAAATGAAATTTAGTACACAGATAGGTTGTATCCTAACTTAGCATATAAAGTTCTTTATATACTGATTGATGCAGGTGAAGCCGCGGAATATAGCTAGTTATAAACTAGTTAGTAGGATAGGATATTAAATTCGATATAGTGTAAATTACTTTATTATTTTTGTTTTCAGGATGATGCCATCATGGAAATATTAAAAGACACTAATTTGTGTAAGTATTTTTTGACTACATTCGACCTTCAAAAACACGACTTTGTAAATCACATCCAATTTTGTAGAGTAATTTTTCCGTGATTCCCTAACAAACATACAGACAAACAAACAAAAAAATATATCAATAAAGTTTATGCTCCTATTGTTAATAATAAGTATATGTTGTTAATGTTTGTTGCTCTCAAATCTACTTCTTAAATATCTTTTATCTACAAACTTACATACATATTAATGTGGTTATAAAAGTACCTAGTACACTTTTGTTTATTTTTTATGGATGATAATGGTATAGTAACTTCGCCTGCGCTAACTGTATGCGCTGGCGCAGCACCAGTGACGGATGATAGGTGAAAATAAAAAGGCAGATCAGTTAGCCCATTGATATTTATACACCTGGTATTCAGCACAATGGTTTCCAGGTGAGACCACGGGAAGGTCGATCTGATAGGGTATAAGCAATGGGCCTGGTAGGGGGGAAAGGGATTGTTAGCAACGGAGTTTGACAGCCCCATTGCTAACAATATGCCCTATTAAGTCGACCTCCACGTGGTTCCTCTTGGAAATCATCGTGAACAATTCTCGTTGAATTCGTCACGATGGGCTTACTGACCTGCTTCATCCTCACCTATCATCCTTCACTGGTGGCCCACCGGTATATATCGGTAGTACAGGCGGGGCTACCATTCCATTATCACACTTAAAAAAATGGGGCTGGTTGTTCACATCACTAACAATCCCTTCCCCCTACTTCTATGTATTTTTTAATGGATGATAATGGAATAGTAACCCCGCCTGTACTAACAGTGTTTTCTAGCGGGACACCAGTGAGGAATGATAAGTGAAATTAAAAAGGCAAGTCAGTTAGCCCATCGTGTGAATACACTAGGAGTCCAAGACGATGGTTTACAGGTGAAACCACGAGGAGATCGGCTTGACAGGGTATATTGCTAGCAAAATCATGGCTTACAAATAATGTTTATGTTTACCAAAGGGAGACTTTGTACAAAAGTTGATTGCTTGGGTACCTCTGTCCCATTCGTGTTTCAACCGTGAAGCAGTTGTGTTTGCATGGCTGTCTTTCGGTTTGAAGGGTGGGATATGGTGTGAATTTACTGGGTACAAAGGAATAACACCTGAGTCCTCAGGAATGGCAACGCATGGGGGGTATCATGGGCGAAACAGTATACTCTGTTATGTCCATGGTACTGCTCATGTCTATAGGCAACGGTTACCACTTTTCATCAGGTGGGCCGTCAGCTTGTTTGCCATTCTAAATAGCATAAAAAAAAATGTAATAGTTAACAAGTTTACCAAGCAAAAAGCGATTGATATAAATTACTATATTAAAATAACATAAAAAAAGAAGCAACGAAATCACAAAACTAATATAATAAATCCAAATGTTTAGCGTCTCGTGACGAATGCGCCCGAGCAGCAGCGGTCATCCGCTGGGTGGTGCAACAAGCCCTGTCATGTTCATGCCCGGGGCCGCAACTCACGCGTGACCTGCTAGTGCTCGGGGTGCCCCGAGCGCACGCCACAGCGCTGACTGACGCGGCTGAAGCGCAGAGAGAAGCATACCAGGCACATGTTCGCAGCAATGGATTTATGGGTAAAGTAGCTGCCTTCCAAAGATTCGTGTATGAAGCCCTATCATACTTGTGCCTAGGGCTGTAACTCACACGCAACTTTTAGTTATGTGAAAGGATTTAACAAAAATTGCTTATCCTAGTAGTTGGCGCGCTTAGCAGACGGGTTGGCAATCGCAGTTAGGCTGTGGTGATGTTTTAAAACAGACGATGCTGCCCATCCCTAGACTATTAAGTTCTCTTAGCCACCCCTTACCACACCCACGGGAAAGATAGAGGTGGACCATTCTATGCCGGGACCACACGGCGCAAATTCAAATTCAAATGTATTAGTACTATTAAATGTCTAACTGTTAATAACAAATCCCGTATTTTGTTTTCAGTGAACAAACTGACCGACGTATCCCTAGCTCCAGGTCCTGAGGGCACGGTGGATACTTACAAACTGTCCTTATACACCGATGACACCTTCACTGGGGAACAAAATAAACGGGAGGTGCTGATAGAAAGATCACAAGCAAAGACCTTGCTGCAAGAACTGAAGAAAGCTTATAAGAAAATGGAGGAACTTGACGTTGAATAGATTATATTATATTAAATTGTATAATTGTACTACTCTCGGTCACGCTGCGTCAAAGATCCATCATTAAAGTGGTTGGTCTATAAACAAGATTAGGCACGAAATACTAGATGGCGCTGGAGTCGAGACTTGAAGTTTTTGTTGTTTATTTCGTAATTAAAGATAATTGGAAGCAAAATTTCTAAATTGGCGAGAGATTTTTATTCTTATGTATAAATGAAAAGTAACAAAATAAGCGATCTTCTTCTGAATGAATTATAATCCACAAAATTGCAATATTTTTTGCTAATTACTGTTGTTTAACAAAATGGATCAATACAAGAGAACAAAAACAAAAATTATGATAAGTTATTACTATATCGGTAAAAATGTAAATAAACTACTAGCCAATTTAGAAATAATATCTTTAATTACAAAGTCAACAAAAACCACAAGCCTCGATTTTAGCGCCATCTAGTATTTTGTGTACAATTTTGTTTAGTGAAAGTGGTGGTAATTTTCTAATTTAAGATAATTTGAGGCACCATTTCTAAACGTAATTCTACGGAATGCCAGCGTTTGTTCAGATGTCAGCGCGCTGATTTGGCGCCGAACCGAATGTGGCATTAGCCATACACCTACCTAATACTTAAAAATAAGTTATTATTCGTATGTATTGCTAGATGTTATTAATTAATTTTAAATAAATAGAATTTATTACTGCTCATTTAATTTATTTATCCAAATTGACTGATTTTCACCCCTCAAGCTATATTATTAAATATATCAATAGAAGTATTATTGCTACCGACAACAATCTAACAAGAAATAGAATGAGACATCGACGGAGTACATTACAAGTATAATGGACAGAACATTTGAATCAAAAACAATTTAAAGAAGTTCGATTCCCAAATTATCCCAAACAGGACTCGAACCCAGAACCACATTCACGTGAACGACAGCCATTAGCGTGTGTACTTATTACTAACTATAACTCGCGACTCTACTACGTTAATTAGGGTAAAAATAGTTAAAAACGAATCTGTATGAATACTAAATTTCATTCAAATGAAACTAAGAAGAGTCTCTTGGGAAAACCTCGGCAGGGAATTTATTCCATAACCTGAGCGTTGGTGGGAGAAAACATCTCTGAAACCGCGTTGTACACGACCATTTAGGCTGTAGGGTACGAGGGTGAACTCCCTGTCGATGGCGAGCCATACGATGGTTGAAAGTGACCATAGCCAAAAACAAAAATATGTTAAATAATGTGTACAATTTAATACCAATGAACAATTTTGGTAATAGTAAAACTTTGTACTTGGCAACACTATACACTTATTGCCAAAAATTAAAAATCCAGTGATCGAAAAATGTTATGTTTTTTAACATTATTTTTGTTTAACATTTAGAATACGGTAGGTATAAATAATTAAAAATAAAGAACAGGATTATAAGTCCTGTTTAGGTAGAAATAAACACTTGTGATTCCTGTTATGTATTGATAAAATTAGAAGAGCATCTCCGAAACCATAATAAACACTGACGGTAAGCTTTACATTTTTTTTTTATGTAATATTTAAACTTATTTTATTTTTAACATTTTATTTGTTCCAAAAACAACACATTATAATTATTTTATTTGTCAATATGAAAATGTAAACAAAATATTAGGTTAATATTATTGTAAACATAACCTAAATATTGTTGTAATGTTTACAGATGCATTTTCTGTGTACTATCTGCAGTGATCTTATAAATCAAGCAGAGAATATTTATGTTACCAAATGTGGTCACTTATTTCATTATCAATGCTTGGCACAGTGGCTAGAAAGGTAAGTTTATATTTTATTTACCTATATATTGGTACAAACATTTTACAATACAAAAAATTTAAATAATTACAATAAATGGTACTCTATTTAAATATTACTACACATATTAATTTCACTACACCTATTTTTTAAAAAAAATGATAAGTTATTTAGATATTTCTTAAATTCACAATAAAATTAATTTAATCAATAACACTTATAATAGAATTAAGAAAATTTGTAGTCATCAAATGTTTAGGAACTTTTTTCTGTATGAAACATCAATCAAATAATTCCACAATTGTATAATCAAGAAGGTATTTTAAAGGAATGAACTTTTTTTATGCAACTTAGAATGACAAACAAGCTGACGAATATGCAATAACTATAAACTATAAACATATAAGCAGTTTAGATCTGGATATTTATTTATTTGTTATAAGTTACAATAACAGTTTGCAAACAGAAATGAACCATTAAAAAGAAAACATAACAAAAATTTATCAATACGCAGTTTGCCAACCTTACATTGTAAACATCATTTAACACTAAGTTATAAGTAAATGTTATACCATTTTTATAGATGTACATTACATTACTGATTACAATTACGATCCAAACTTATTCTATCTCAAAACCATACAACGACCTCTTAAACCCAATAGTACTCTGATAAAAGATATCAACTCTTTCGCTAATTTTGTTATACAATTGACATGATTTATTACAATTGACAATTATATATAGACGTAAGCATGACTCGTTGGCAGTGTTTTGCGGTAAGATACTGAACACCATGTAGATTTGATGATATTGCCTGGTCTTGTTTTATATTTAATTAAATTTTGTATAAAAGAATATGTAATTATACTTTTAATTTATTATATTAATTATATTATGACATTTATATGACATGTAATCTGTAGTCAATGTTGTCTACGCCTGCTATAGGTATGCATATCAGCGTACTACACAAAAAAAATTATTTAATTTATGTATAATACAGTGGTGGTCACATAATTAAAGACACTTAGAGGAAATTAGTATTTTCAAAGTTTACCTACCCTGTATTTTTTTCTACAATGTAGTAGGAGATTGCAATGTAAATTATTTTATTCTAACGATTATCGAGAATGTATGAAAGGTAATAAAGATAACAAAATATTGTATTTTAAATATTTATTAATTTTTACTTCATTGTAGGCAGTACGAACTGATGCAAAGTCTTGATTAGATTAGATTGTCCACCATATAGTCCCGACATTGACCCGATCGACTGTATGTATACTGTTGGTGTGCCTAATTTGAAATAAATAAAAAAAAATCGTCAGAATTATTGTCATTAGTAGATTTAGTTTCGTACTATAAGAATAATAAACTTGTTTTTGTAAATAAAACTCCTTTGGTAACACAAACTAATTATGCATTGTATAATATCGTACCTGTACTCATTAGACATAATGTAAACGCATTTCTATTTATCTTACTTAATGACTTATAGTTTATTATATACAGTAATTCATTACGCTTAAGTCAATAATTTAGGACATTATAGGTAATTAAATCAGAATTACATATGTAAATTATTGTAAGTCGTGTGGTCCCGGCATAGAATAGGCCACCCCTTCCTATCCCGTGGGTGTCGTAAGAGGCGACTAAGAGAGGGCGAGGGATGGGCAGCAGCGTCCCCCTTAAAACATCTCTAAAGCCTGATTGCGCTTGCCAATCTGCCTGCCAAGCGTGGCAACTATTGGCAGAACCTCCCAAGGGGGATGCTGATATTCAGCAGTGGACAGTTAAAGGCTGATATGATGATGACATTTAAACTTTAATCACCTTTATATTATGTTCAAGGAAATCGTACATGTGAAACAATTAATGTTTGGAGATATAAAAAATTTCTAATAAATATGATACTAGAGTAATATTTTTTATAAAATATGAACAATGGTATAAGTTACACTCTAATAACAAACTCACCAGAGGGAGACTTTGTACAAAAGTCGATTGCTTGGGTACCTCTGTAAACAGACAGAGGTATCCAAGCAATCGACTTTTGTACAAAGTCTCCCTCTGGTAAAATTATTTAAAAATTATTGAACAAAAATGATAAATGCAAAATATTTTTGATATAGTATTAAATATCTTTACGGAATACATTTAAAGGCAATGTATTGTATTTCTTAATGGGGTAGGATTGTGATATACCAACAAAGCAATTATTGTAATTAAGTAATAAAAAAAGGATTATAACTAAATGTATTGTTATAGTTCAACAAACACTATAATGACTTGGATACTTATCTAATGACCGTTAAGGTATCAACATTGATAACGTGTAGTTCGTAGCTCATTAAGTAACAGATTTACCTTTGAGTCACCGGTAATTATAAAGTAATTATATATAAGGGGAGGAAACCCCAGGAACAGGGCAGTCGAGTCCTAGTCGTGTCCCAGTTGATTACTAAAAATTGTTACGCGTGATCGCTACAACTTTAGTGTAATTATGTAAGTCAGTAACCAGTAAACTTTATAACAGAACTTTGTAATTCTTGTTTCACAAGTGACCCGCGCATTACGTATTTAGAAACCTAGATCTTTTAAGATTGTTAGAAATGGCAAGCTGTTAGTCTCATTTTGTTAAATACGAACACCTATGCGAGCGTGGACGGGCAACAAGTTTAGCATAAAAAATGATTGTTTCTGAAAGTGTGTGATATATATATATATATATATATATATATATATATATATATATATATATATATATATATAGATTTGATTATATATATATATATATATATATTTGACATATAATTAATATCATTAATTATATGTCAAAAGCCAGTGCCTTCCCAAGTAACAATTTTTCGTTTTTTTTTTATACAACTTAGAATAGCAAATAAGCTGACGGTCCACCTAATGGAAAGTGGTAACCGTCGCCTATAGACATGAGCAGTACCATGGACATAACAGAGTATACTGTTTCGCCCATGATACCCAACATGCGTTGCCATTCTTGAGGACTTAGGTGTTGTTCCTCTGTACCCTGTAAATTCACGCCGTATCCCACCCTTCAAACCGAAACACAGCCATGCAAACACAATTGCTTTACTATTAAAACACGAATGGGACAGAGGTACCCAAGCAAACGACTTTTGTACAAAGTCCCTCTCTCGTTATAGCAATACTTATGAATATGACATTTTCCAGGTCCAAGTCGTGTCCGCAATGTCGTCACAAAGTGACAGAGAAGTGCTTATTCCGAGTTTACCCTACATTGTCCAACGACAGCACTGGGGAGGACGTAGCCATCCTGCAGTCGAGGCTCGACGATGCACTCCTGCAGCTCCGACAGCAGAAAGCTACCAGCAAAGAGAAAGAGGATACACTAGCAGTGGTTACCGCTGACTTGAAAAAGAATGAGTATGTATATTACATTACATGAGTTTTGTTATTATATAGTTTTCAGAAAAAAATATTTAGTTACATTATATTTTAAAACTATAAATCTACCTTTACTAGCATGAGTAAAAAGGTAGAGAATTTTATTTTATTATTTTATTTTATACAACTCAGAATGGCAAGCAAGCTGACGGTCGACCTGATGGAAAGTGGTAACCGTCGCCTATAGATATGAGCAGTACCATGGACATAACAGAGTATACTGTTTCGCCCATGATACCCCCCATGCGTTGCCATTCCTGAGGACTCAGGTGTTATTCCTCTGTACCCTGTAAATTCACTGCCATATCCCACCCTTCAAACCGAAACACAGCCATGCAGCTGCTTCACGGTTGAAACACGAATGAGACAGAGGTACCCAAGCAATCGACTTTTGTACAAAGTCTCCCTCTGGTAGTTATCTGTACAGATATATATTTATTTTATTGCATGTATTTAATATCTATATGTATATAAAATAATAGAATTTCCATCGTGTCTCCGATCAAACTGTTTATAATTACTCTTCTTCATCCAAAGGTTGCCTGGAAGAGATCGCTTTTAACGATAAGGCCGCATTTTTTTTTCTCAATGTGAACATTTCTTAAAATTGTTTGTGTCTACATATTTATAATAAGTCTGCTACTGTAACCTTTATCTATATTTTTTTTTTTTTAATAAAATGCAGCCCATGTTATTCGCTGATAATGTAAAGTAGCTTTCTATAAGCGAAAGAATTTTTAAAATAAACTTAGTATTTTTTGAGATTATCAATTATGTCTACAAACAAAAAATAAATCGTTCCTTTTTATAATATTAGTTGAAGGGAATTAGAAGAAGGAACAAGGAAGGGTCTATCCTAAAGAGTAATTTCGTTTCTTAATTTCTGTAATAATTTCTAAAAAAAAAAAACTTATTTAACTTTTTGTGAAGTTATATTAAAATGGACTATTTTTTTTTTTCACCTGTACAGAGAACTACTTAAGGCATGCGAGAAAAAACTCATCAGTCGGGACTCAGCCGTGTCGGCCTTGAAAGAACAATTGGAGTACCTCAAAGTCCAAAACAAGGAGACAAATCGCCTGAAAGAGGAAAATGAAGCGCTCAAGAAAAACTTGCAAACTTTAAATGGGTATTTTTTATAACTTTATTTTTTACTTGTTTTGACCTCATTCATACATTGAAGAATTGATGTCAGGTAGGCGGTCATAAAACTACAATTTCGAATAATATGGAGTTAAACATATGACGTTGACCCCAAAATTTAAATAATTGGGTTAAAGGCAGAGAAAAAGTGGCTTTGAAAAATAAAATATTTTTTTCTTTCTATTTATTAATTAAATTCTGTGTCATCAATTTGTATATTTATATAACTTCTTGTAATTCTTATTGGCAAACCTTTTAACCAACTACCACCACCAATTTGAAATCGTCTTATGTATTTGTTCAAGAATAAAATTACCTTAAATGTTTTATGAATGATTTAATTCTTCATGTATATTTCAAAGATTTGTCCATATTAAACTAAACATCAAATGGTAATGCAACTATGCATTCAAATATTTTTAACGTAATGTTTTTAGCTTACAGAAAGTGTTGAATGCTACAAATGAGGAAGTGGAAGAAATGTTGCAAGGATACACAGACGGACGAACAATCGCTACGTTCGCGACAGCCCTTAAAAGGTAATACTTTAACTTGAAATCATCATTTTGTCACGGTACTGCCAAAATACGGTTATGGGGTTTTTTTTTGGTGGATGAAAATGGAATGGTAACCCCCCGCCTGCGCTAACGGGATACACTGACGGAACACCAATGAAGAGTGATCGATGAGAATGAATACAGGCCATTTAGCCCATCATGATGAATTCATCAGGAATTAACCATGATAGTTTCCAGGGGAAACCACGAGGAGGTCGACCTGGTTGGGTATATTGCTAGCAAGGGATTCTCAGTCTCCATTACTAACAATCCCTTTCCCTTCAAACGCTTATGGGGTAGGCCTATGTTCAGCAGTGGACAATTAACGGCTGACGTGATAATTATGATGAGATGTATGATACATGTAATACAAACTTTTCTTAACCCTTCTTTGCATGATTTTTTTTTATTGGTGAAATAAATCAAGGTGATATAATTCATGTTCAAAATTAAAGGACAAATGGTTAAAAAAATAAATTTGACAGCTATAGTTTTTTTTTTCTGCAGTGGACATTAAAAAGGTATCCAGACACGATCAATTTAAAGTGAACTTCTTCTTTTATATAATTTTTGAGCATTCAATGTTATGGTGGAAATTTCCACTGTAATTCAAAGAAGGGTTAATTTAGGTCTAGATGATGCTATTTAACAAGATCAAAAATATTTTTTATTATTATTTATATTTTTATCCTTCTATAAGATTGTGTTCCACAAAAAGAACCAACTTCAATCGTGGTAAAACCAGATATATTGAAAACTAAACTACTGAACCGATTTTGATAAAATTTCTGTTTCCAAATAGGTTTACAACTGAAGGAGTTATGTGGTGATAAACATTATTAAAAATTGCAACCGAATTGAAAACCTCCTTTCTGAAGTTCAATGAAAACATCAAAATGTTTGTTGCAGAGCTCTATGTGAATCCGAAGCGAAAAAAAATGAGTTCCGAGAAAGGATGCAGGTAGCCAAGCATATGCATGGACTAGAGAAGGCCAAAACATCGAGTCTTCATGCTAAAATAACGTATGTATTCATTTTGATATTTTTTATGATACTTGGAAGGTTTTACTGAACTATATGTAATTTTGTGGAAATCCATATTTACCACTGTTTATTTGATTAGAATTACTTTCTTTAATTTCTCATTCTAATTCTTCTATAACCTTCCATATTAGCCATCAATTTTCGACTGCCATTTCGTCCACGCACGTTTTGCAACACGTGGTACACCTTAAGAATAATACATCTTCAGGCAATTTATTAATAAATTACTACTCGGAACCTCGTGTTAACCGTTCAGCAGGAGGAGGGGAGAGAGCCGGACGGGATTGTTAGTCATGCGTACTACCAGTTCCATGGCTAACAGGTATACCCTGTCAGGTCGAGAAAAGACTGTATTCCTTCTCTAAAAGTCGACAATACACCTGCAATATCTCTGATAAGGCGAGTTTCTATGGGCGACGCTGAGCCGCATGTTCAATATTCCGCTTGGTTATAAAAAAATCGGTAACACACACACAAACTGAGACGTGTCTATTAAACTGGACAGGTAGTTTATCCCAATTAAATCCTTTTACGATTGGCATAGGGCAGCTTTTTTTTATTTTTACACGTATTTGAACATTACAGGCAATTAGAAGAGAAGCTAGCCCAAAAAGAGCGCGAATATCAAACGATAGTGCACAAGAGGAAAGCGTCAGAGATGAAAGACAAATCCCTCACTGAGGAGTGTGAGTCGGCGGTGAAGCAACAGAAGCATTCGGAGAATGTGTCGACCCAGTCGAGTGAAGCTGTCAGTGTTCAAGATAACATCAGTTTTGTATGTACACTCATATATCGAAGTAGCTTATATACATATTGCTTTTGACACCCAATAGGAGTGGCAAACAAGCTCATTTGATGGAAAGTAGTACCATCATGTCAGCCGTTAACTAACTACCTATTTTGCCAGGCGCTTGGCAGGCGGGTTGTCAACTACAGTTTGGTTTTGGCGATGTTTTAAGGGGAACGCTGGTGCCCATCCCTCGACCGTTAGGTTCCCTTAGTTACCTCTTACAATACTTATGGAAAAGGAAGGAGTGGCCACCCAAAAATAATAAAATTTCAATCTTTAATTATATGATGGTAGTGCATTTTCGATGGAAAAATAATCGACCATCTGATTCAGAACATTCATCTGAATCAGCTGTTTTAATTTTGGCCAACCTGTCTCTTCCATACCGTATATTTTTTTGTGATGTAACATACTACCATAACGTATGCCTGTGTAGTAAATTAATTAATTCCTTATTTGAATATAGAACACCATGGTGAAGAAGATAGAGAACGCCGATTCCCCGTATCTGGACCTCAAGCAGGGCTGCATAGCGTTAACGGCGATGCAACGGCAAGCGCAGAAGATGCCTGATAACAAACTAAAGGTGAGTGGTTAATTAGTTACTTCAAATCACAATATCGGCGTACTTAAAATTATCTTCCAGCGGGCATGACCCCTTAAAAGCACATAACGTACCTACTGTCAGACATGTCTTTCTGCTTAAAAGCCCCACTCGCATCCAAGGGTAGGCACAAATAGACTTTTTGCACATTTTTTTATTCAATTGGAAATTTCAAACAAACTGACGATCCATCTAATGATAAGTGGTAACCGTCACCTATTAAACTTGCTTTTACCCGCAATTTCATCCACATGACTGTGATATGTTCGCTGACCGGAATAAAAATACCCCTAAATAAACAAAGCTAACCAAACGGCTTTGTTTTAGTTTGAAGGGTGGTTATGGCAATGAATTTATAGCGTACAGTAACATAACACCTTACTTCTCAGAAATGGCAACCCATGGGGTATCATACTCAACATAATACAAAAGAGTATACTCTGTTATGTCCATGGTACTGTTCATGTCTATAGGCGACGGTTACCACTTTCCATTAGATGGACCGTCAGCTTGTTTACTATTTTAAGTTGCATACACAAATCCTTTTTATACCATCTTGTTTATGAATACCAAATTTCATAGTGATGGATTAATCCATTGAGACTTTTAAAGGTGATTAACAAACTCATATTAAGGTAAGGAAGTAAAAATTGTATATTAATAAATTTTATTGTTTATTTCCAGCCGTCAGAATTTGCGCTACTGAACTCCAAGCGAAATGCATTCATTAAGGCAAGCTGCGAGATGTTTCCCAGAAACAAGTTTAGTATTTTTGTCAAGAATGATATTAATTTAAGTGAAGACGGGATTGACTTAAATGTCGCGCAATTAGACATGTCATACGACGGATTAGGCGGGCATTCCAAATTGGACATAATGCCGGTGCCTACGCGACCACCGCTCAGAAGTTGCATACCCAAACTATCAGCTAAACATAAACTGAAAAGACCCAACCCTACTAGAAATCAGGATATAAGTAAAATGCTAGAAAAGATACGAGATAAATAATATTAACCCTTTAACGAGACTGAGTAATTTAAATGAAAGAGTTATATCTATGAAGTGACTTCCAAAAAGTTCTCGATTCGTTGAAATTTTTTTACCACTATTGTGAACCGATTTTTACTCTTATTTTGCAGTCAATAGGGTTTGCTTCCGCATTAGCCACATATAACGTACGTGGCCGTTAATGTTACCGTTTTACGAAGCAAAAAATTGTTAAATACAAAGCTAAACCTAAACTTAAACATCACATTCTAAAATCAAATATTTACAATAAGGCCGTCTCTGTAGCGCCGTTTCTCTGGACTTATTTCTTAATCTAATATTTAAATTGGTATCATAAACTAAAATTATAACAGTTTTGATTTAAATCTAATAAATTATGACAAAGATTTTGCTGTGATATCAAATAGAAATATTATTTTTAGAGATAGATTTTGAGAAACATTTAGAGAATGGGCGACTCAGTATTGCCTCAGTATTGTATGAATCACACAATCGTTGCTCATTGGTGTATGTGTGATTGAAGTTATTTTCATGGCGTAACTGGATTCTTCAGTTTTAGTACCCAAACGGCTTAGCCAAAACATTTATAAATCCGTCTAATTTGTCTGTCTGATTGTCTAGCTGTTTGTTAATCACTGCATCATTAATGAAGTCTTATCTACGATACTTTAACTATATGTAAAAGAAATATAAACGAATAACAAGATTATTTTAATGTATTGTCTGAAACACTTTACAATTTGTTCCATTGTATCAGCATAAATTATAATTTCTTTTAATTTTTTTTTGAATGAGTGCTTTACTTGTATAATTAATAATATTGTAAAAAAAAATCAAATTTTTCGAGTTTTAAATTGTTCCAACTACTTATCTACAATTTGTAAAAAATTAATTTAAAATCACTCAAACTACTTATTTGTTATATTTGTATATATGTATTAATTTGTCATAACATAACATTAAAATAACCTAAAAATGGTGCCTGTGGCCAATATTAATATATGTTTATTAAGATTTGTTAATTAATATTTTTTTTTAGAAATAAGTTTAAATTGTATAAAATATAAGACTGTTAATAAATAAATGTGAATACTTAATTTATATTTTTATTTAATAGTTATCTATCTACTCATTTTAAAAACCATGGATGGTGAGTATAATATTTAATACAAGCAGGTAATAGGTATTCTTAATTGCTTTATTTTGTCTTAAGACATTAGGTCCCAAAAGATGATACATTGTCTTATATTCCTTTATCATTGCTTCTAATATAGTATTATATTATCTATGTCATTACTATGATTTGGTGTACAAAAAATAATATAGATTTGATTTCAAATTTGACAGCTGACAATCCCATCTATATAGGTAGAAAACTATAGAATCCCGTCCGCGCTACCGATATGCTTGGAAACCCCAATAGACAAGTGGAATGCGAATCCATCGATGGAATCGTTACCGAAAGCGAGACAATAAGTTGGAATGAGACACCCGACGTTGCTATCTCATACTATCATGATAGTGTAGGTAATTTTATGATTTTTATATGTAGTTGATATTTGCAAGGACTATTAATCTATGGAGTAAATAAACAAAATGCATTCAAAAAGCTTGAAATAATACCTATTTTGTAAATATAACTAATTATAAATTTCCTCTATTAAACTTATAGAAATTATGACTTAACTTAAAGGTTCTATTACCAAGCTATAAATACTTAAAAAAAAAACTTGTCAACAGTAGTGATGCGCCACTTACCCTTTCTAAATCTATTTGAATATTTAGATAGAAGGAAATAAAATAATAATAATCTACCGTGAGTCATAGTCTATGAGTACTTTATTGGTGTCATATACAACAGTATAAATAATAGTATTAAAGTACAGTACAGACATTCCTCCTCTTACGAAATATTAATAATATTATATAATATAATAAGGCTAATTATTTAGATTCAGCTAGTCCTATTTTATGTTTATTGGAATGTAAAGTTATTATAAATTCAAAATTGACTATTGTTGTTACAATAACCTTGAAATTTAATGTCCACTAAATGGCCAAAATATTACATGAATTGACAATCTACTTAATTTTTAAGAAAACTAGTATGAGGCGCTTGTTAGACATAAACAGTATCATGGATGTCAAAGTAATTTTAAATAAAGACGCTAATGATATCTTTCATATGGTACTATTTCTAAGAAGTATAGTGTTATTTCTCTGTACTTTATACAGAAAAAAGAATGCAATAATTCAATCCTCATTACAACCAATACTTATTCGATACAGTACTCGAATAAGCCTACCTAAGCATCACTAATCAAAACTGTCAAAATATTTCACACATGCATTTGTTACCATCCATTAGGCGCTACCTACCTACCTGTCTGTTTTGAATATTTGCTTGCTTCGTCTTCTAGATTACGAAAGCCGTTATATATTTATAAACTCGCACTTTTGTCTATTAATAAACCGTACTCATTAGTTTTAGAACACCGACCGGCTGATGTGGTAGTACTGTTTTTATTGTAAACGCGCAATTCGCGACTTTGCGTGTAAAATGTGCCGCGGAAACAAAATGTGTATCACTCTCTTATCTCAATTTACCCGCGCCGATAATAATCAAAATCAGTTACTTCTATATTTACACGTGTATTAGTAGGAAAGAGTGTTTATAAATATTTATAGATCAATGGACTATTCAATTTTGACGCCCAACAAAAGATAAAGTTATGTTCAGAATCTGTTATTGAGTGACTGATTAGATACTAAAAAAAGTGTTAATCTCATCTGAAAAGCGTGATAAACGTTCATGATATGTTGTGCTAACAATTTGTGTATATTTATAATTTTTATTTGTAGTGAATATTGTATAAAATGCCTGGGAAAATAAAAGTGAAGGTTTTGGCGGGCCGCAATTTGCCGGTGATGGACAGAGCTAGTGATACTACAGATGCATTTGTGGAGATCAAGTTCGGCGGTGTCACACATAAGACCGACGTTTGCAGGAAGTCTTTGAACCCACATTGGAATAGCACAGAATGGTACAGGTTTGAGGTAATTTTTTTACTTAATTTTGTTTTATCATGTTGATAAATAATAGACTTTTTTATCCAATTTAAAATACTAAACAACAGTGGTAAGCTGATGGTTCAACAGATAGAAAGTTTTAACCATTTCCTATAGACCTACCCTCTTATTCTTAAAAAAATATTGTTTTGAACACTGGGTATTCTTAGTTTAAATATTAGCTAATAAAATTTTTTGGCACATTTTTTTTTTCAATTTAAGAATTAACACAGAAAAAAAAGATAAAACACCAAATTTTTTGGCACAATTTTTTTTTTCAAATTAAGAATCAGCACAGAAAAAAAAGACAAAACACTTTAATAAATACAATAAAATGTTTAACATTTTTTAAGGCTTAAATAGTACAAGGAATATCTCCGAACACAGTGCAATTCCTGTAAAATATGGTGTTGAGTCAATAATCTGTAATTTCACTGCCATATCCCATTCTTATCTCATTCATTAAACTGAATCACAGCTATACATTTATATATATTATAGCAGATGACTTGTACAATTGTAAAACTGGATTTTTTTTATAAATTTACTTTAATAAACCATATTCATAATATCATTGAGCAACAAAGAGTTGGTTTGAAAAACTAAACTTTAACACCATAGGTTGACCTAATGGGTTAAAGTGGGGAAGAAAGTATTATTAGTAATGTAGACTACCAGTTTCATTGCTAGCAATATACCCTGTTAAGTCGATCTTCACATGGTCCCATCTGGAAACCATCATGCCAGGTGTGTTTATCACAATAAGCTAATTGCCTTTTCATTCTCATCTATTATCCCTCACTAGTACCTGAGTATACTGCTAGCCAGTGTTAATACAGGCACAGTTATCATTTCATTATCATCCATTAAAAAAAGTGTTAATGTTTAGAAAAATCATATTTTTTTTAAAGATAGAAAATGGAAAGGTATCCGAACTTGCACTATTGGTATATGCTGATGAAGTACCACTGAGGGTTGATCACCTATCATCATTTTCTTTTGAATCGTGAGAGTGTATATGTATATACTATGAAATGAAATAAAATGAGTTTATTTGCATTAAACAGTTTAAAATTATTACAAGCCAGGTGGTTATTATTTTGGCACCTGTTTAATTGCCTTAAAAGATGTAGGCATGCAAATATTTTACATTTTATATAAAAAAAGTGGGTAAATAAAATTATAATTCAATTATATTATTTAAATTGACCTTACATATACTAATAGTGTAGATGGGGTTATCATTCTATTATTACCTATAAAAAATCAGTTCAATTAAATTGAAAATGAATTTACCAGAAATAGGCAGTTACTGATGGTTTTTATTGAGACAAAAACTAGAGACATATGGCCAGAGGGAGACTTTGTACAAAAGTTGATTGCTTGGGTACCTCTGTTCCATTCGTGTTTCAACCGTGAAGCAGTTGTGTTTGCATGGCTGTGTTATATATGTGTGTATGCATGGGTTCGGTTTGAAGGGCGGGATATGGCGTGAATTTACATGGTACAGAGGAATTACATCTGAGTCCTCGGGAATGGCAACGCATGGGGGGTATCATGGGCAGCTTGTTTGCCATTCTAAGTTGTATAAAAAAAAAAAAAAACTATCATAAAATATGTTCCTGTGCCTATGGCCTATATCTCTTCTTATGTCTTTATAAATTTTCATGCCTGATAATTAGGTACTTATTCTTTATTAAAGATAATAAAGGGCACATTATTATACAACAAAGATAATACGTACATTTTTAAATATAGGCCAAAGAAGTTTTCACAAAAGAATTGTATATTAGAGTAAGCAATAATTTTTTTCCTATATAAATACAATCTAGAAACATGGTATATAGCTATCGTATAACGTACATAGTAAGATAATTATGCTTTATGTTATTACATAGGGTTTTAAATCTGTTCTGATTAAATAAAACTGTATTAGAAGCATTTATAAATGGTTATTTTTATGAATGTACTAGTTCAGAATGTAATTTCAACTTAGAAGAAAGGGCAAGAGTATTGTTGTTTTTCTATATTGATTTTCTTAAACAAAAATTGAGTTTACAAGTTATGAAAAATGTAAAATGACTATTAAAATAATATATCCAAGTCATAATTATAAAACAAACTGATTTATTTATCTTTTACTCTCTATATACAGAATTTCTTCATATTTGTTTGACACGTGAATTGCAAATGTTTTGGTGCAAAATGGTTCACACTAAACTTTGAGCAGTAATCTAATAACTTGCCTAAAGTTGCCTCATTTAAAGATGAAAAAAGTGTCACAAAACATGCATGAAGAAAATGGTAATTGGAGCTTGATGGCTAATGTGGAAGGTTGTGGACCTTCTGGTAGTATTAATAGTGATCAGTCATTGAATGTTGGCAGTCATACACATACTAATGGTAGCAGAATTAAATAAAATAATTCTAACCAAATAACCAGTAATATGAATTTCTGCAAGATAACACTGAGTGTAAAATAACTTGCCTATTCTCGTTTTTAAACCTACAGTTTTCAAACCAACTTAACCCTTCATTACTGTGTTGGGTATGCAGTGTATTTGAGAAGTTCTTACGTAAAAATATCATTAGCGCCCCCATTTTCAGTAAATTTTAAAATTAAAGTATCAAGAACAGTGTTCTCCCCCACATTGGGGTTCCCTCGCTGCGTGGTCTGAGGACAGTCGTTACTGATAGGTATTACTGTAGGTAGGTACCTATGTAAGTGCATATTATGTGTGCATTATAATAAGGAACATCTCGTCCAATCAGGGTGTTAATTTAAGCCCATTAAAGTTAAACCCTTTTTACATTAAATAGGATAATAGATTTTTTTTTACATAATTAGCCAAATTTAAGAGGCCCTTTGCGCTAAGGGCGTAATATTAACCGAGTGGTATATTTACATCGACTGGTTATATCAAACAAATCCCATTGTGTTTCGTATAAAATATGCCTTTTAACCGACTTCAAAAAACGAGTATGTTCTATGTTCCATTGTATATTTTTAACCCTTTAAATGAGGCAAATATAAAGGAAAAATTAAATTCATTTACAAAGTATCCCACTATTGTCTTTACTTGGCAAATTATGCGCAATTCTCGCATTTCGACCGCATTCTCTGTGTTTGTTTTTCACCTTTATGTGCTGAAACTATCAAGGCTGGTCTTTATGACAAATTGTAATATCGCTTGGCAGAGAAATAGCGTGTAGCGGAATTGCCATGTGCCACCTATTACCAAATTATTTCAGTGCCAATTTCTGTCTGGCGTCTGTCTGCTATTATTTTTGTTTATATTTCAACAATGTGATGATGCTTTGATGATAATCCTGGAATAACATTCTCTCTGTGTTTTAATTTAGCTTTACGAGCTAACTGAATATTTGGGTACCTACCTAGTTACGTACGGAAACTTTTTGAAATTCTTAATTTTTTTTTGCACACAAAAGACAATATAATGATGATGATAATAATATTGCCGTTAATTGTCCACTGTTGGACATGAGCATCCCCCTTGGGGGTTTTGCCAGTAGTTGCCACGCTTGGCAGGCGGATTGACAACCGCAGTCAGGCTTCAGAGATGTTTTAAGAGGGACGTTGCTGCCCATCCCTCGCCCTCCCTTAGTCGTTCCTTACGACGCCCACGGGATAGGAAGGGGTGGCCTATTCTATGCCGCGACCACATGACCAAAAAACAATACAACATAAGGGTGATCTTATCTCTAAGAGATTTCTTCTGGCTCTTCTCTCTCTTTCTCTTCTAGTTAATCTCATATAACCTTCATATAAGGTTATATGAGATTAACTAATAGTTTATTCATAGTTATTACTTATTAAAACTATTGTAATCATAAATAAGTATACATAAAACATTAACACGTTGAGCGCCATGTCAGCCATCGGTGGCTGACACTAGACTTTCCGTTTAGGCCGCGTCAGCCATCGGTGTCTGACAGCGTGTAACATGAGAACTATAAAATTTTACACTATTTTACGGAATTACAGAAAATTTATTTAAAATTTACTTTAATTAAATTAAATTTGTTTAAAATTTACAAAGGGAACACCGGTTACGGATACATTTCGATAAAATCTTGTCTAGCAGGTCAAACGATAAAGAAAACAAAACAGACTTGGTGCGTAACGTGTTCAATGAATGCCTATAGGAATCACGTTCCAAACGTAAACTATCTTCTACTACGATAGGAAACACCAGCTCCTGCAGTACCAGCGCTTCGAAGCGGCGCGCGTGGCCTGAACGGGATTGCTGTAGAAATACGCGTGGCGCTCAACGTGTTAATATATACCAGAAATTAAGTGTGAATAATACAATTCTCCTAAGAGATGTACCTAAAAATTAAAAGTTGCAACGTTCAATCCTAACAAAGAAATGCATTGCAGTAGGTTATGTGATGGAATAGAAATCACTTGAGAGCCTCTATTTTTTTTTGTTGCCTGCGTCTGCACTAATCAGGGGACCTACCATGAAATGAAATTCCAAAGTTACGGACTCAATTTCGTGTTTTTGTTCGTACCTAAATCGACCCAGTAAATGGAGCTTAACGTTTCATTCATCATAAATCCTATCCTAATAGTCCAGAGGAACGATATTTTAATATTTTTAATAATTTTAAACGGCATGTATTATGTAATTTTAACATCAAATTTCTATTTCGTTCGTCCCCGAAAGTTGGGAAAATATTTCGTGGTAGGCCCTCAGTTCTAGCTTACGAGGTCCTAGTGATAATACGTGAGAATAGGGGGGAAAGGGATTGTTAGTAATGGAGACTGAGAATCCCATTGCTAGCAATATACCCAACCAGGTCGACCTCCACGCGGTTCTCCCTGGAACTATCATGGTTAATTCCTGATGAATTCATCATGATGGGCTAACTGGCCTGTTTTCATTCTCATCTATCACCCTTCACTGGTGCTCCGCCAGCGTATCCCGTTAGCGCAGGCGGGGTTACCATACCATTTTCACCAATAAAAAAGAAAAAATACGTGAGAATAAAGTTAGGTCATTCATCGGAAATTAATCACAATGGTTTCCAGTGGGGATCGCGCGTAGGTTGACATTACAGAGTATATTTTACTTACAATAGCGCATCCCCATTACCAAACTCTTGCCCCAAGGGGTGTATTAATTAAGGGTACCTAGAGTGAGTAAAGATAAAATCACGTTACATAATACACCACAAAATGATCGGCTAAAAAAAGAAAAAGCATTCCTTCTGTTTCTATAGTTTCCTTCTCGTTATGTACCTTCAGACATATATTTTACTGTATTATGTATCTTATAAGTATATAAGGTGTACACATTTTACAAGTACTAAAACTTGCCCAAAAATTTACAGAAAGATTATTAAATACTAATTATTTTTACTATTAACTTAAAATAAGCTTAACAAATAGTTCTTAGAATTATATAGAATTATATTTTATAACCAGAAGCCTTTTTTAATGCGTGAAAATGGAATGGTAACCCCCCGCCTGCGTGAAAATGGAATGGTAACCCCGCCTGCGCTATCGGTATACACTGGCGGGACATCAGTGAAGGATGATAGGTGAGGATGAAGTAGGTCAGTTAGCCGATCGTGACGAATTCAACAAGAGTCAGCCACGATGGTTTCCAGGGGGAACCACGTGGAGGTCGACCTGGTAGGGTATATTGCTAGCAGTGAGGCTGTCATCTCCATTACCAACAATCCCTTTCCCCCTATTGTCAGAGGTTACCCCAACATAACTCGCCGCTTAGTTAGTTTCAAATAGGTAGCTATTTCCATCATCGGAGAGTCAGTCGGAAGTAACAAGTAACATACTTATAGAGATTAGGGCGGACTTACAGAAAAGTATATGGGCGCCAATTTTTTTTTGTATTTGGAACACTCGCCACTAAAAATTTGGCAGACTCCAACTTGTTTTATTATGATAATGACTTCATTGTTGAGTATGGTCTCTCCATGCTAGAGACATTTAATGGGTGAAAATGGAATGGTAACCCCGCCTGTGCTATCTATATACGCTGGCAGAGCACCAGTGAGGAATGACAGATGAGAATGAAGAAGGCCACTTAGCCCACCGTGACGAATCTAACAATAAATCAGTCACGATGGTGTCCAGGGGAAACCACGAGGAGGTCGACCTGACAGGGTATATTGCTAGCAATGGGGATATTAATACTCATTATTAATAATCCCTTCTCTCCCCATACGCTGACGGTTCACTAGTGAGGGATGATAGGTGAGGATAAAAGTAGGTCTGTCGTCATAAATTCAACATGAATTAACTGGGGGGAAAGGGATTGTTAGTAATGGGACTAGAGGCCCCATTGCTAACAATATAACTTATCAGGTCGATCTTCACGCGGTTCCTCCTGGAAACATCTTGATTGTTTTTTTATAAATTCATCACTATGAGCCAACTGACCTGCTTCATCCTCGCCTATCACTAGTGCCCCGCCAGTGTATACCAATAGCGCAGGCGGACTTACTAGTCCATTATCATCCATTAAAAAAACATGAATTAACTACTAAGGTTTCCAGGGAGAACCGCGTGGTGGTCGTCCTTTAGCATTGGTTCTTTTAGATCCCATTTCCTTTCTTACAGCTTTACTGCTAGCAGTATACCCTATCAGGTTGATCTCCACGTGGTTCCCCTGGAAACCACAGTGATAAATTCTTGAATTCGTCACGATGAGCTAGCCTGACCTGCTTTCATCCTCACCTCTTATTTCTTACTGGTACCCCGCCAGTATATACCGATAGCATAGGCGAACTACCATTTTATCCATAAAAAAAAATACAGTACTTGGAATGGAGGGCATTGGCCTTGTCTTATTCCAGTAAATAAAAATACGCCAGCCTTGCAAGGTTGCGTAAAAACAATCCTTGCTAATAATATAAATGTTAAAATGAAAGCTAGTATATACTCGTAAATAAATGAAATAGGCGTTTTAAAAAACAATGCATTTAATTTAATAATATATATTATTTCAGGTGGACGAATCAGAGCTTCAGGATGAGCCACTGCAGCTTCGCCTCATGGACCACGACACCTACTCGGCCAATGATGCGATCGGCAAGGTGGTCATCAGCCTGGCACCACTCCTTGCTAGAGAGGCCAATAATGCCAAGGGGAACGCACCGCACGGCGGTGAGTTAATTTGTATATTTTATTGCCCATTTTGTTGTTATTGTTTGGCAAACATTATACAATTAACAAGCTTACCAGAGCATTATTTGGTAGCTCTGTCTCTTCCTATCTTACACACACACGGACACGAATACGTACACAGCATACACAGTACACACAGCTCACACAGTTCACACAGTACACACACAGCACACACAATACACACACAGCACACACATTACACACACACAAACACACGCACACGCACACGCACACACGCACACACACGCACACGCAGACAGTTTTATACATAGTTTTATAGTATTTACTAATTTTTCTCAAAGTATGTATTTATCTAGAATCTGATATAAGTGAAACTCACTACATTATGGCATTACGCTAAAGACAGGTCACTGAAACTGTAAAAATAGCACAAATTTACCATTTTATTATTAAAACATCTTAAGCTCTTTTATAGTAAGAACTGTCAAAATATCAGCTGTCGTTCGCATCATCCAAACGCTACTACTACGCAGAATATACGCAAAAACAGGAATAAAGTGTGATGACCCTACGTCACGTCCCCTAATAGCATGTAGGGCTATTTCTGTCACGTGTAAACAGTTCGCTATAAATTTCTATGTACTTACAACAAAGGCCACTCTAATGTACCTTCAAACGAACATTAGTTTAAAAATGTTGCAAAAAATTTAAGTAAATTTTTAGGTGTTTTTAATAATTTATATACAAAAACTGAATCACTGTATGTAACAGGATGTAGCGCTAGTTAATTAATATTAGCTTTATCCCGCAACTTCGCCTGAGTGAATTAATACATAAAGTATCCTATCTGCTAAAATGAGATGTTACGGGATGTTATAATAATATTACCAACTGTTATTATGAACGTAAAAAACTCAGCTGTGACATTTTTTAAACAAAAGTTGAATTTACAAGGTTTTTTTTTAATGTGTCAAAATGAATTGGTAACTTCGCCTGCGCTAACGGTATACGCTGGCGGGGCACCAGTGATAGATAATACATTAATTTAAATGTATACATATAATAAAACTGTAGAGGTCGAATGTCTGTACATAGAGAAAAAAACAACGCTAAAAACCGAGTTAGGAGGTTGTTAGAAGTGAAATAGAACACATCCAGATTTTTACATTTCTTTTTTTGATTCTCTGTCTGTTTTTTATGGGCTAGTCTCCGAAACTGTTGGACTGATTTAAATGAATTGTTGCATGGTAGTTAACCTTACATCCCCGGTCAACATTTTATATAAAATTATTCACGGAAAGTTGAAGCGTTCCCGTAAGATAGTTAAAAAATTATAGTAACTTATACAGCTTAGTATACAATCTACTTAAGTAACGTCATTTTGACCTAAGCAAAAAGTGTGAACGACGCGTCATTTTTTAATATTGGTCCAGTATTCCTAGACATAGTTCACTACAATAAGAAAGTTAAAAATATTGATCGAGGGAATAACAAATACCACACGGACAAAGTCGCGGGCATCAGCTAGTAAATGAATAACAATAAACTCGTATTGCAGGCGCCGTGATGTCCGGCTGGATACCTGTGTTCGACACGATGCACGGCATCCGAGGAGAGCTGAACGTGATCGTCAAGGTGGAGCTGTTCTCGGACTTCAACAAGTACAAGACGTCCAGCTGTGGGGTGCAGTTCTTTCATTGTTAGTCAAATATATTTTTTATATATCCCACTGACTCGTACCCAGTACAGAAGCAATTGCTTCATAATTTATTTATTTATTTATTCATAGGAAAGCCAGGGCTACACTAGAGCAAAAAAATACAGTTTAGGATCACAAAATAAGCTACTAATAGGTTTTTATAAGTAGCAACAATATAGATACAAGGCGCTGTATACAAAGAAACAAAAATAGGAGTTAACAAAAAAAGTGAAGTTAAATAAAAGCTTGTAAAAAAAAAAATAACAAACAAGAATGAAAACAAAGCAAAAAAAAGGTGAATAAAATACAAAGTAAAAATTAATTACAAATATTTAATTAAAATATGGCCTTCTTGTCAATACAATAGCTATTCAAACTGACTATGAATAAAAAATTGCCTACTCAGTTGATCTCTCACTGATATTATGTTTTTCGAAAATAGATCTATATTAAGACTTTTAGAAATAGTATTAAAGTTATTGTTAGCTCGCCAAAGGAACGAATTCACCTGCAATGCCGTAGGTGTTGTGGGTGACCATGGGCGGCGGTAGTTACTTACCATCAGGTGAGCCACATGCTCGTTTGCCCCCTGTGTTGTAATGTTGTAAAAAAAAAAAGAATGACACTAGTGGGATAAATAGATTAGAATTATGCCTTCTAGACTTAATTGGTACATTCAGTCTAGTAGTTAATAATGCGAGCTTCCACTGTGTTCAATGATGTATGTAGTAGGGAATGTAGTATTAACGAAATTGATATATTTAACAGTAGCAGCAATTATATAAGAAAAACCATCGCAATTTACTCATTAATTGATTTTAACCACGTTTAGCCTGTGTTTCCACATTTATATATTCTTTATTGCACTTGTAAGTTACATATAAAATAATGTATTTATAAATATTGTGAGCAAGGGTGGACTTATCTCTGACAGAGATCTCTTCCAGTCAACCCAGTACAGTGAGAAAGCATTGTGTTAGCGGGCAGCTGAAGTGCTACAACTATTAATACATAAACAAATATACAGTTAAATAAAATATTAAAAGATATAATAAAATATTACATAAATACATAGACTATAAATACATATAATACCTACTTACTTATATAATAAATGTTAAAATAAATGAATATAAATATATAGCGGGGTACCAAAATGGATAATAAATAAGTATATATTATAATACGATGGCGATGTAGCCACCTGTGTATTGAATTAATGATACAATACTAATATACTTGTAATGGGGGGAAAGGGATTATTAGTAATGGAGACTGAGAATCCTATTGCTAGCAATATACCCAACCAGGTCGATCTTCTCGCGGTTCCCCCTGGAAACTATCATGGTTAATATCTTATGAATTCATCATGATGGGCTAACTGGCCTGTTTTCATTCTCATCTGTCACCCTTCACTGGTGCTCCGCCAGCGTATCCCGTTAGCGCAGGCGAGGTTACCATACCATTTTCACCCATCAAAAAAAAAACAGTAAATTGCTAGCAATGGGGCTGTTACTTTTATTACCACTACTTACAATCACACAAATGATAATGGAATGGTATTCCAGCCTGTACTATCGGTATACACTGTAGAGGCACCAGTGTGAGAAATATGATAGCAACATATATGTCTAGATGAAAGCAAGTCAGTTAGCCAATCGTGACGAATTCCAAAATCACGATGGTTTTAGGGGAACGTGAACGTCGACCTAACTGGGTGTATTGTTAGCAAGGGACCCCTAGTCCCCATTTTTAACATACCCTTTCCCCATGACCATAATATAGGTCCCTTCTCTAATCTGTACACAGGGTCAAGTTAAAATCGTTAGTGACACGTGAAACTGAATACTGCTTTAGAACGTATTAGGATAGAAAGTTCGAGAATCTAAAAATAAAAAATAATTGAACCCGTCATAATTTGTTATGGTAGACTTACCAGAGGGAGACTTTGTACAAAAGTCGATTGCTTAGGTACCTCTGTCCCATTCGTGTTTCAACCGTGAAGTAGTTGTGTTTGCATGGCTGTGTTTCGGTTTGAAGGGTGGGATATGGCGTGAATTTACAGGGTACAGAGGAATAACATCCGAGTCCTCAGGAATGGCAACGCATGGGGGGTATCATGGGCGAAACAGTATACTCTGTTATGTCCATGGTACTGCTCATGTCTATATGCGACGGTTACCACTTTCTATCAGGTGGACCGTCAGCTTGTTTGCCATTCTAAGTTGTATAAAAAAAAAAACTTAAATTTTTTATCATTTTTGACCCATATTTCTTTAGTGATAATTAAAGATTGTGCTAAAAAAAACCGTCTTCAATTGTGATAAAACCAGTTATGACGATTTAAAAACTAAATTATTAAATCAGTTTTGATAAAATGTTTAGGAGAATCATAATCCACTATGTTTTGAGAAGTTTAGAGAATCTGTAAGTATAGCCTTTCAGATACAAAATGAAGGCTTGGCAAAAAAATGCAACTGTAATGATCCCTTTTGAAGTTCGTTAAAAATACTGTTTCGCAGAACACTTCTCCCCTCAGATTTCAACCTGTATTTTTTGTTCTTGTTTTCAGCATCTTTCTGTCTATTCCAGGTCCAACGATACCCCCCGGATATAGAACGACATCTATACATGGCTTTGTCGAGGAGTTGGTTGTAAACGACGACCCAGAGTACCAGTGGATAGACAAGATCAGAACTCCACGCGCTTCCAACGAGGCGAGGCAGGTCGCCTTTATCAAACTCAGTAATCAGGTACCTATTACTGTGATATTCATGTAAATTGGAATGTGGAACCGAGAGATTAAAACGTAGGTTTCCCGCGCATTGGCTGGTTATACAAAGTAAATCCCATTATGAGTATTTTTTTTATACCACTGAGATGCCAAACAAGCATACGGCCCACCTGATGTTCAGCGGTCACTGTATCCTGTGAACCTCTGCAATACCAGCGCGTTATCGATCCTGAAGAAACCTCTTTTCCCCTTTTTTGAAGAATCCCTTACTCTAGTCACTTGGAAAATCCTCGACATGGGCTCCCATTCCATAACCTGCCCTCCTAGACAAGTGACAAGCAATTCGTAATCGAAAGCGAGTCCATGAGTTGGAATAAGATATCCGTCGTTGCTATCTCATTCTATCTCACGGACTCGCTAGCGATGTGGATTCCATTAATGAGTTCTATTACTACTTTTCCAGAAGGTCTGAGCGTTCGTGGTTGAATAGAATAGAATAGAATAGAAATCATTTATTCAAATAAACTTACATTGAAGCACTTTTGAAAAGTCATTTTTGAAAAGTCATTGGTTTATTGCGGGATGTTTAACTAAATAAATGATAGAATATACGTATCTTTTATTATCTATCTATCGATAACGTATCGCTACCGAATATATTAGATAGAACGAGACAGCAATATATGGCATATGTTCACTAACGAAAACATACTTATTAATAGATTCAGATGCCACTTATTTAGGGGGGAGGGAGTGTATACCTAATATAGGCCCTTAATATTTAGTTTTTTGTAGGACCGTTTTAATAGAATGGATTCTTTTTTGTGTTTCCAGAAAATAGAAAAGAAATTAAAACCTTTCATACAATTTCTTTTGAATGCAGGTGCAAAGATTGGTCGGTCTCAAGGCTGCGGAATTGGGTGCTAACGCTGTAGTCGGCTACCAACAGGACTTTGACTTGGAAGGCGAAGCGGGAGTCGTCGCCAGAGCTATTGGTTAATATAATAATATAACTAAATAAACTGAAATTTAATATTTGAATTACCCTTGTCTGCTTAATCCTTAAAAGCATGATTTTTTAAATCAAATTAAAAAATATATAAGTGTACCCTTTACTGTGTTTACTAATGGGGAAAAATAGTAAAAAAAAATCAAAACGATATTTTTATATATTTATTTTGAAAAAAAAAAAAAAACATTGGTAACATGTAAACAGCCAAATATTAAAATAAAATCGATTGTAGGCGCCCAATGCGATTTATAACCACGGTATCAAATTTGAAACTTCAGGTATTTAAGGGTTAAGGGATTTACAGGGTACAGAGGAATAACACCTGAGTGCTCAAGAATGGCAACGCATGGCGAGTATCATAGATATAACTCTCTCTGTTATGTCCATGGTACTGCTCATTTGTATAGGTGACGGTTACCGCTTTCCATCAGGTGAGCCGTCAGCTTGTTTGCCATTCTAAGTTGCATAAAAAAAAACTAGATGTTATCTTGCGGAAGTCCATATCACTGGTTATTTAATTAGAATTATTTTGTTTAATTCCGCTACCATTAGTATGTATGTGACTGACAACACTCGTAAGATTGATCACCACTATTACTACTAGAAGTTCCAAAAACTCCCATTTTACCCATCAATTTCCGACTGCCATTTTGTTCACGCACGTTCTGCGACACGTGTTTCACCTCTAAACGAGGCATCTTCAGGCAAATTATTAAATTGCTACTTGGAGCCTAGCTTGCTTGCAGTTTGGGTGCCAACAGTTAATACTAGACTAAATAGTAACGGAATTAAACGAAATAATTCTAATGAAATAACCATTAAATCGTTTAACAGGCACAGCGGTCACTATATCGCCTCTGCCGACCCCCTCGCAGCCTATGAACATGCCGCCCTGCACACAGCAGTGAGTACAATTTTATGTCATTACTATCTATGTATGTATATGTATATATATGTAATAATGAGTAGGGATATATATTTACATTATTACATGTGTTACATCTCCATATTTAGAAATAATAGGATCTTCATCGTGCCTCCAATCAAACTGTTTATAATTACTCCTCTCCATCCAAAGGTTGCCTGGATGAGATCGCTCTTAGCGATAAGGTAGCCCATTGTTTTCTCATTGTGATTATTTCTTGTAATTGTTTACTATTGTAATCTTTTGGAGGAAACGATAAAGAGTACCTATCTATCTCAGATCAACAAAAATGTACAAATTGAACACTGTTCAATTACAAACTGAAACGATTGTTGTCTAATTAAAATAGTAAAATAACAATGTTTTGAATCCTATTATAAATGAATAGTTTATGAGGATGAGGTTAAGTGAATATTTGTTACTTAATATTCTTTCATGCATAAACTGTTGAACGGATATGGACGAAATTTGGTATACGGGTAATTTACTATTATATACTACATGATATATAGGATTTAAATGAGATATAAAGATTCTCTAAACAACTTTGAACTATAAGTCCTATAACAACTTAATAGGACAACGTATGTTGATGGGATAGCTAATTATTTATTATATTAAATGCTATTAATTTCTAAGTACGTTATTTCAAAACGGCTGGACCGACTTGGCACATATTTTTTAATGTATATCATAAATAATTTAAGGTTTTTATGATGAGAAAAAGTCGTGTAATGACTGTGATTTACGTTAAAGTTTTTTCTTCGAAGTGTAGGAAGTTTGCAAGCTTTCTATGTGCATATATAACTATTAAATGTTATCGAAATACCGCCGAAAATAACTGCCATAGAATATATAAGTAAATAAAATTGAATAAAAGCACTAATGAATATATATTTGCATGGTTTGTCGTGGGCTGCTTTCGTTTCCATTAAAATTATCATATGTAGACAATTAAAGAAGTATTTGGACATTTTATCGACTGACAACGAAAATGTTACCGATTTAAACGAATATTATCAGCACCATCAAGATGAATTGGCCAAGCTGCTTACCATCCTTAACCCTAAAACTCCATCACTTTTGGACGAAACAGATATTAACGATGATAATGATGACGAAAAACTATTTAATAACTTAACTAGACAATCTAGTGTTAAGAGTTATACAGGCAATATTTCTATATACCAGGACGATTATATATCACAAAAAAGTCTCAAACATATTTCTGAAGATCAAACAGATTTAAATAGACTACTTAATCGTGATTATTTTGATTCTGATACTCCTGGACCATTGAGGAAAATAAAAAAATTCAAAAGCAATTTCTTTCTAAAAAGACTAAGTAGTATGCGTGGTCGCAAACAAGAAACACAAGATGATCAGATATCGCTGAAGTCAAATTCTTCTGATACTTCTAGAATTTCTCTTGTCGATATAAAAAACGAACTCAAAAAATTTAAACGAATAAAAAAGCCTAAATTTCACAAGATTGCCAATAATGCAGATGAAGGTATAGGTATGGCATCTGTACTCGCCAGATCTGTGATTCACGCTCATACAAGTCTCGCTTGTATCGCTGAAACACAAGATTCTGAACACTCACCGAATTCAACTTTGAGACGTGCTAGTGAATCTGAACCTACAATTAATATGTCTGATGAAGATAAACCCAAAACTACTGATACAGATACATCCTTTGATGCTAATAGCAATAAAGATGAAAATAAACAGGTGCCAGAGATACACTTTTCATCTTTAATGAATATTAATTCAGACGAAAATGAAAAATCGGAAAGACGAGAAAGACGATTTTCTGAATCATGCCCTACATCTCCGGTGGCGCGTAGAAATAATAATCTACTTAAGCCTGAAGATGCTGATTATTATGGTTCAGTATCATCTGCTCTATCTGGTGATAGTTCTGAAATATATTCTAGTTCAGACGAAGACGATGAAAGTTCTGATGTAAGAACAGACACTGAAAAATCAGTTGAAACTACTAGTTCTATTGTAAAATCTGTTCTAAGTCATGAAATAAATCCAGCTTTCATAGCACAAATGGATAGAAAACTTAGCATTCTGGAAACTGAAAATCTTGACCGCCGTTTTGTCGACGAAGAAAAGCAAAAAAAGATAAAAACAAATGCTGACACATATGAATCTGATAATACTATAAACGAGAAGAAAGAAAAGATCGTAGAGAAACAACATAACGCTACAATGTTCGCTCATGAGGATGCCAACACGTTTGTAACTCCAAAATCTAATACACATCATTATAAATTTCACAATCCTTTTACTCATAAGAAAGTATCCAAAAGTTTCAGTGCCCCCTCATCCCCAATAGAAAATAGTAGCTTTGTATATCGCTCTTCACAGAAAATAAAACAGCAACTTTCAAAACTATCAAATAGCAATATGATTAAAAGCCTTTCACATTATTCTTTGATACCTAAAAAGAAACATGAAGAGGTGAAAAAAATGAGTAAACCGAACTCGGCGACTGATATACTTTCGAGAGTACCTAGTGAGACTGTTTTAGGTTCTCCATTTCTTTCTTACGCTGATTTACTAAGTTTAGATAAAGAGGAAATGGTTGCCAATAAAAATCTCCATAAAAGTGATGAATTTGTAGGCCCAAAAGTATCAATGTATATTGGTTCTGAGCCTGTTTCAAGGGCATCTATGAGTGGAACATTTTATACTCATCATGGTAGTCAAGATATACGTAATCATGAACATGTAGTTAAAGTAGATAAAAGGTCTATCAAACCATCGAGTTTAGTTCACACTGCTATGGAAACAATACTTATAGATAAAGTTCAGTCGCTACTAACACCATCGTCACCAGAACCTATTCCAGTAACTAAACAGTTTTTTAATGACGTTTCTGAGAAATTGGAAAAGATAGAAGAAGCTAGAAACCAGACTCCTGAAACAACTGGTTTAGTTCATACCGCAGTAGAAACTATGCTTTTGGACAAAGTTCAATCTCTATTAGGTCCAACTACTCCAGAACCTAGTTCTCAAAAGGACAATGTTAAATCTTATTTCGACAATGTTAAACCCGATGTAGTTGAATTAAATAAAAGAGAACAAGAATCAACTGGGTTAACTTCTACAGCTATGAAAACCATGTTGATGGATAAGGTGCAAACCTTAGTTAGCCCAAAGACAGAATTTCAGCCAGAGAACTTGCTACACGATACTGACAATTCCAACAAAACTTGTAGTAGAATTCGTGATGTGCACGAATCATCGGGTCTTACTCATACAACTATGAAAACAATTTTAGCAGATAAAGTTAACTCTCTTCTTGGTAGTTCAAAAGTAGATATTGTACCTAATACACAGGATATGAAATCTGAAAGAAAAAATGGTTCAAGAAATAAAGATCAACATTCATCTGGTTTAGTTCACACTGCCATGGAAACTATTCTTATGGATAAAGTACAATCTATATTAGATGCTAGTAGTACTGAAGTCAATTCTTCAAAAGAAGTACATGAAATTTCAAATGCAGTAATTAAAAAAGATATTGTCATTCCTCATGAAGAGGAAGTGCAAAGTCGCGAGAAATCGAAATCCTTAGACTCTACAAAAACAGCCTTGCTCGTGGAAAGAGTAGTAGAACAACCTTTATTTATACCTACCTCGCATGTTTCTCAATCAGGTGACGATATAACGACCGAAACAAAACCAGATGATACAGAATTGAAAAAAAAGAAAAAACTAATTCGACAGGATACTGTGGATTTTGTAAATGAAAAGCAGTTGCATAAAATGTCCAAACTTGCTAATACCATTCCACGCAAAGTAACAACGCCGGTATTACAGCACTTCCATCCCATTCTTAGTGGTGCACCTTTAGAGACCATACCTTCGCTACCGGAAAGTAGTTTCGATCAGAGCGAGAGCATCGATGAAAACATCCCTAAATGTCAATGTGAAAGCGAATGTAAATGTCAGGAGTGTGAGTCTAGTGATACTAACAATGCTAGTGTGTGTGATAACTCGCATGCAGCGTGGACTGTTGACAGGGGTGAACGAGACAAAGATAGGAGTGAAAAGGATAAAGGATCGCCTCGGCATGCGAGGCACGAGTCGTACGGAGGGAAGGAGCCTGTTCCGCCCGTTTCGAATACACAGAACTCTTCGTTGCATTCAACGTCAACGCCGATGGGCATACATCGGCGGTCTTCGGATTCTGATCTCAGTATTACACCGAAAGGTTAGTAATAAAATTTTACTATATACGTCAACGTCTCGTTTATCTAATCCCGTTTTAGTTACTCATCAAAAGCGAAGCTTGAAAATTTTACACTAATCTCAGTGAAATTTGAAATTAAATTACTTTCTCTACTACTTAAAGTAGCGAAACATACGACCCTGAAATACAAGTACTATATATTTCAACAGGCAGCTCAGTAAACACGCCCGGGGTCAACGTCGGCAGCGGCGGTGGCGCCATTCTGAAGCCCTCGATGAATAGCAACAACCTGGAAATGCTCGAGTATCCTTTCCTAACCATGAGCGAGTATCCGCCTGGATTTATAGTGCACATAGGTGAGTATTGGATTCGAGTGGCCGGTGCCGTAGAGGTGTTGGCGCGGACGTGTGGTGATGTGTACGTGGCGTGTTGCAGGCGGCACTGTGTGCGCGCGTTCGGTGAAGCTGGTGGACGGCGGCGGCGAGAGCGCGGCGCGCGCCGCCTGGTGGGCCGAGCTGCGAACTGAGCTGCGCGCGCACGCTCGCGCACTGCGCTGCAACGCCGTGCTGGCCTACAGCGACACCGCCGCCATATGGTACGCACCGCACACACTGCACGCCGCACACTACACACTGCACACTGCACACTCGCACGGCCGCGCACTGCGCTGCAACGCCGTGCTGGCCTACAGCGACACCGCCGCCATATGGTACGCACCGCACACACTGCACGACGCACACTACACACTGCACACTGCACACTCGCACGGCCGCGCACTGCGCTGCAACGCCGTGCTGGCCTACAGCGACACCGCCGCCATATGGTACGCACCGCACACACTGCACGACGCACACTACACACTGCACACTGCACACTCGCACGGCCGCGCACTGCGCTGCAACGCCGTGCTGGCCTACAGCGACACCGCCGCCATATGGTACGCACCGCACACACTGCACGCCGCACACTACACACTGCACACTGCACACTCGCATGGCCGCGCACTGCGCTGCAACGCCGTGCTGGCCTACAGCGACACCGCCGCCATATGGTACGCACCGCACACACTGCACGCCGCACACTACACACTGCACACTGCACACTCGCACGGCCGCGCACTGCGCTGCAACGCCGTGCTGGCCTACAGCGACACCGCCGCCATATGGTACGCACCGCACACACTGCACGCCGCACACTACACACTGCACACTGCACACTCGCACGGCCGCGCACTGCGCTGCAACGCCGTGCTGGCCTACAGCGACACCGCCGCCATATGGTACGCACCGCACACACTGCACGCCGCACACTACACACTGCACACTGCACACTCGCACGGCCGCGCACTGCGCTGCAACGCCGTGCTGGCCTACAGCGACACCGCCGCCATATGGTACGCACCGCACACACTGCACGCCGCACACTACACACTGCACACTGCACACTCGCACGGCCGCGCACTGCGCTGCAACGCCGTGCTGGCCTACAGCGACACCGCCGCCATATGGTACGCACCGCACACACTGCACGCCGCACACTACACACTGCACACTGCACACTCGCACGGCCGCGCACTGCGCTGCAACGCCGTGCTGGCCTACAGCGACACCGCCGCCATATGGTACGCACCGCACACACTGCACGCCGCACACTACACACTGCACACTGCACACTCGCACGGCCGCGCACTGCGCTGCAACGCCGTGCTGGCCTACAGCGACACCGCCGCCATATGGTACGCACCGCACACACTGCACGCCGCACACTACACACTGCACACTGCACACTCGCACGGCCGCGCACTGCGCTGCAACGCCGTGCTGGCCTACAGCGACACCGCCGCCATATGGTACGCACCGCACACACTGCACGCCGCACACTACACACTGCACACTGCACACTCGCACGGCCGCGCACTGCGCTGCAACGCCGTGCTGGCCTACAGCGACACCGCCGCCATATGGTACGCACCGCACACACTGCACGCCGCACACTACACACTGCACACTGCACACTCGCACGGCCGCGCACTGCGCTGCAACGCCGTGCTGGCCTACAGCGACACCGCCGCCATATGGTACGCACCGCACACACTGCACGCCGCACACTACACACTGCACACTGCACACTCGCACGGCCGCGCACTGCGCTGCAACGCCGTGCTGGCCTACAGCGACACCGCCGCCATATGGTACGCACCGCACACACTGCACGCCGCACACTACACACTGCACACTGCACACTCGCACGGCCGCGCACTGTGCTGCAACGCCGTGCTGGCCTACAGCGACACCGCCGCCATATGGTACGCACCGCACACACTGCACGCCGCACACTACACACTGCACACTGCACACTCGCACGGCCGCGCACTGCGCTGCAACGCCGTGCTGGCCTACAGCGACACCGCCGCCATATGGTACGCACCGCACACACTGCACGACGCACACTACACACTGCACACTGCACACTCACACGGTCGCGCACTGCGCTGCAACGCCGTGCTGGCCTACAGCGACACCGCCGCCATATGGTACGCACCGCACACACTGCACGACGCACACTACACACTGCACACTGCACACTCGCACGGCCGCGCACTGCGCTGCAACGCCGTGCTGGCCTACAGCGACACCGCCGCCATATGGTACGCACCGCACACACTGCACGCCGCACACTACACACTGCACACTGCACACTCGCATGGCCGCGCACTGCGCTGCAACGCCGTGCTGGCCTACAGCGACACCGCCGCCATATGGTACGCACCGCACACACTGCACGCCGCACACTACACACTGCACACTGCACACTCGCACGGCCGCGCACTGCGCTGCAACGCCGTGCTGGCCTACAGCGACACCGCCGCCATATGGTACGCACCGCACACACTGCACGCCGCACACTACACACTGCACACTGCACACTCGCACGGCCGCGCACTGCGCTGCAACGCCGTGCTGGCCTACAGCGACACCGCCGCCATATGGTACGCACCGCACACACTGCACGCCGCACACTACACACTGCACACTGCACACTCGCACGGCCGCGCACTGCGCTGCAACGCCGTGCTGGCCTACAGCGACACCGCCGCCATATGGTACGCACCGCACACACTGCACGCCGCACACTACACACTGCACACTGCACACTCGCACGGCCGCGCACTGCGCTGCAACGCCGTGCTGGCCTACAGCGACACCGCCGCCATATGGTACGCACCGCACACACTGCACGCCGCACACTACACACTGCACACTGCACACTCGCACGGCCGCGCACTGCGCTGCAACGCCGTGCTGGCCTACAGCGACACCGCCGCCATATGGTACGCACCGCACACACTGCACGCCGCACACTACACACTGCACACTGCACACTCGCACGGCCGCGCACTGCGCTGCAACGCCGTGCTGGCCTACAGCGACACCGCCGCCATATGGTACGCACCGCACACACTGCACGCCGCACACTACACACTGCACACTGCACACTCGCACGGCCGCGCACTGCGCTGCAACGCCGTGCTGGCCTACAGCGACACCGCCGCCATATGGTACGCACCGCACACACTGCACGCCGCACACTACACACTGCACACTGCACACTCGCACGGCCGCGCACTGCGCTGCAACGCCGTGCTGGCCTACAGCGACACCGCCGCCATATGGTACGCACCGCACACACTGCACGCCGCACACTACACACTGCACACTGCACACTCGCACGGCCGCGCACTGCGCTGCAACGCCGTGCTGGCCTACAGCGACACCGCCGCCATATGGTACGCACCGCACACACTGCACGCCGCACACTACACACTGCACACTGCACACTCGCACGGCCGCGCACTGCGCTGCAACGCCGTGCTGGCCTACAGCGACACCGCCGCCATATGGTACGCACCGCACACACTGCACGCCGCACACTACACACTACACACTGCACACTCGCACGGCCGCGCGCTGCGCTGCAACTTTTTAATAATTACTATAGTACTAATATTAAATAAAATGTGTTTAGTGAGGACGTATGCGTGCTGTCCGCGTCTGGTACAGCGGCCGTCATCAACCTCGACTGCGACTTCAATGCAGACTGCGAGCCAATCACAGGTATTTGGACTTGGACCCAATAACGTCGCGGTAGTTTACAACTTCCCCCTCAAAACGACATGTCGTTTAGAGATTTAGCCGTAACAAAAATTTATATGCGTCTGTTCAACCACTAGCGACCACCTTGGCTTTGTGTAACCTTTAAACTGTTCGACACATTTTAGTAAGGCTGGTATATTGGTGTGTGTGAAAGTACTGCACTAATAATCTCTAAAGTTTAAAAATGAATGGCCTATTTAATAATTTGATGTGCGCTCGATTATAAAGTTTCTTCACCTCTACCCCCGGCTACTATTCTCGCACGGCCAGCGGCTGGTACAACGCGGACATTTTACCGCCTTATTGTTTTCATTTCGCATTATCTCCTGATCAACTGCATCAATAAACATGCTGTAAAAAGTAAACTCTATTTCCAAGTAATTTCCATTTTGATTTAGCTATTTATTTTCATAATAATTTGTAAAGTATACGTGAAATCTGTATCAAAACTTAGTCTTGTAAAATTTATTCTACTTTTAACATAAAAGCCATCTTTTTGGCTGAGATGTTAAACTTAGATGTATGGCGTCATAGACTTTTTTGTAAAGCTAAAAGTAATGAATATTTTTGCTGTAGATTTCAGTCCTTTATTTCAAATGGTTTAGGCAGCGCACACCATAATATAGAATTTTTGCTGACTTCAATTTTATTGATTTTGATTAATTATTGAAAATAGGTATTTTCCGAAATAAAAAGTAGTCTATAGCATTTGGGGATAGTACTTTTCTAACAGTGAAAGAATTTTCGAAAACCGGAAATTACCTCGAACATCCAAATTCACCTCTTTATAATATTAATATAGATTAGAACTACGCTTTTTTATATATATTAGGTCGTTTCCTTGACACCTCTATCCCATTCGTGTGTCTATCGTGATGCAGTTGTGTTTGCATTGGCTGTGTTTCGGTTTGAAGGGTGGGATATGGCAGTGAATTTACAGGGTACAGAGGAATAACACCTGAGTCCTCAGCAATGGCAACGCATGGGGGGTACCACTTTCCATCAGGTGTACCGTCAGCTTGTTTGCCATCCTAAGTTGCATAAAAAATATTTGTTTCCAGGCTCAACCAACACGAAGACTGTAGATGAAACGGAGGAGTGCTGCTCGATCGCCCACGTGCCGTACTCGCCCGGCGCGGGCCCGTACCGCGCCGAGCTGTCCGTGTGCGGCGGCTGCAGGTAATGAAATGAAATATTTGTTTGCTTCAACCAGATATTTGGTATTATAAGGGCCATGTGACAGAACTTTTTGGCATCTATTTAATTGCTTTAAAATTGTAAGCATGCAAATCTAATTTCTTGTTTAAATAAGGATACAAATTAAACTTAGTGATTTTTAAGATTATAGAATAATAAAAAAAAAACAATTCTCAAACAATTATCAAGTCAAAGTAACCACTACACATACCAGTTTAATCAACATCTTTTTACCCTTACCCCAATATGGGGTCGGCGTGATAGGTTTTTCTCTTCCGTTCTTCTTGTGTGCATATTACAAAAAGATTTGGCTTATAGTTTTACGACCGGCCGCCTGCCTGACTTCAACCCTCTTAAGGAATGCATTTGTTATGATATAGAGGAAAGGATTGAGGAAAATGGAAGGGAACGTTGGAAATGTGTAAAGGGAATCGGTAAATAAGAGGAATAATGGACTTATGTGGGGAAGGAAAGGGGGGGGGGGAGCACTGCTGTTGCGGAAAGGACTGGGACACTGCAGCGGCTCGGGAGGTCCGTATGCCCTTGTACTAGAATCGAACAGATTTCTAGAGAAGGACACTTTTGACACATGGCGGCGGTAGTCACTTACCATCAGGTGAGCCGCATGCTCGTTTGCCCCCTGTGTTGTAAAAAAAACCTGGAATTCAGCACGATGGTTTCCAGGAGGACCACGTTGAGACGAGTCTAAGTTAAAGTTAGTAATGGAGTTTCTATAGCCCATTATTAACAACGAAGGCAGTAGTGCTAGTGTGTGGTGTGGTTGCAGACGCGCGCGCGTGCCGGCCGTGGTGCTGGCGAGCTGCGCCAAGCCCGCGCGGCTGGCCGCCTCCCCTCGCGCCATCACCCTCACCGCTGTCGGTGAGCACTTCCTTTTTCAGTTACATCAACCCTATCGTACATTTAAATATTCATGATTTAATATGAACATTTGTGTAATAAACACAAAATATGTTTTGAAATTTGACATTACCTCGATAAATTTTTTTAATTGCTCAAAAATTATTACGAATTTCATTTAATTAATTTCCACGCATCAATTCTTAATTTGGCCGATCTTACATAATTTTGTTTCATTAATTATAACTGAATAAAATATTTACAAAAATGACTGGTTTTATTTTTTATCATACCAACATGTAACGTCAGTGAAACAATGCAGTCTTAATATAAACTATTAAACTACCCTCCACAACACAAAACTTACGTTTCAGATGGATAGTATAAAACAAAATTATAAATTTTAATAAATAAACGACGATATCAGATCTCGGTATATTATAATTTATTTACCATCTATTCCATTTGTACATCATATATATTGTCTCGTACATTTGACAGCTGCACGTGTACGCAGAACCCCGCCCACCGGTGAGCCTGCAGCCAGAGATATATCTGATCAGTTGCCCTTCCTAGAGTACGAGCTACATAAACTGCTCATCGCCAAGTTAAGGATGCAGGTAATGATTACATTATTTTCATTCTATAATTATTTTAGTTGGTATTATATTATTGTATTATTGCTTTTATTTTACGTATCATCGTACATATTGTAATTAAATATTTCTAATATCTGGATTACTTGAGTTTGTTATTAGTTATAGTACTCAATATCACTGATTCTCTTTAGATGATTATTTTTGCCTGAATTGATGTCGAATTTGATTTTTTTTTCCTAAAACTTCGTATACATAATTTTAATATAACTATTTGAATACAGCTTAGCATATAAAATGAACTTATATTGCTTGGATGTTATTTTCTATGCAATTAGGCTTAAATTACTGAACGGAATTGACTGAAAATTGCTACAAATATTATTTGCTAGATTAATTCGTAGGAAATACATATATTGCCCTAATTCACCCGAGTAAAAACGTGTAAATAGCAACTATATGTGCACAGGGCGCGAATGCATTGTTCTCGCTGCAAACTCAAGTGTGTGTGGGCGAGCGCTGCGTGATGGCGCTCGCTAGTGGCGCCGCCGTGCGGCTGGCCGCGCTGCCGCCGCCCACCCCGCCCAGGATCAAGGTACGCCACGCAACCCACACGCCGCACACCGCACACGACACACAGCACACGCCGCACACCGCACACCGCACACGCCACACACGCCACACAGTACACGCCATACACCGCACACAGCACACGTCATGCACTACACAGCACACGCCGCACATTACACAGCACACGCTTCATACTATACACAGCACACATCGCACACTACACAGCACACGCCTTACACTATACACAACACACACCTTACACTACACCGCACACAGCAAATGCCGCACACAGTATACAGTATACGCCATATAGCGCATAGTACACGCTACACGCAATACACGCTGCACACAGTACATAGACATCGAATGGCATCGAATACACATTGCCGATAACGTTCCATAATAGTCACTGGACGAAAAATATACAATAAAATATAAATAACACAAAAGTCCATAATACAATGTAATATTATGTAATTATTTTACAGTCGTCAGAAAACGACAAAGATGCACTAGAAATACAGAAAGCGCTGTGGGATACATTTGCAGCTAATAAAGCAGCTAACGGTTTTGATATTGGTGAGTTTTTTTTTTTTTTTAGATTTTTAAACGTGTCTATCAAACAAATGAAAACTGAAGTGCTTTAGCTTCTAGAAATAAAAAAAAAAAAACTACCATCTTACAATATCTGTACACATATTGACCCAACAACAGATCTATCGTCATAGTCGTAGAATACTAACTAATAGTATTTAATATTTGTCAGATCCGTCAGTATTCTACGACTGTGACGATATTAACTATCGGTTGTCCAATTTGTAATATAGAAAAGAAGAATCCGCCCGTAATAAATCTGTGAATGTTGAGTACAACTATAACTGGTTTGCAAACTTATAATGCTATTGTTGTATTCTATTGTTAAAGGTTTTGTTTGTAATCTGTTGATGTACCACAGAAATAAATAAATAATTTAGATATCCGACTAGTACGGACCATATCTGAATGGGTATTCATTAATGTCCAGAAGTACTCAATGTATAGATATTGGATATTACCCATCCCTACTTATAAATATTTTGCGTTGTATTGTTTTATTAATTCGTTTATAAAGCTTAGGAAGCTCAGAGGACGTGTTTAGATTCCCCAAAAGAAATCTTCAATCACAAGACATTCTTTTATCATTCATTGAATAAAAACAACAGATGCCAGCGCAAGTTTGTTCCAATTATTAGCTTTAAATATGTAGTGACATTGAATGCTCAATTTGTCCACATAACCTTTAGTGAAGTAGTTCCCTATCGCACTTTATATAGTTAAATTACGATAATTTCTCACTTATAGTCCGTAATAAATAAAAATATTAAGAAAAAACAAAAAAAAAATTCTTGTCCCGTATAAACCTTTAAAATTGACACTTTTTTTTATTATTTGACATCTAGACAGACGTGATTTGGCGTGAATTTACTGGGTACAGAGGAATAACACCTGAGTCCTCAGGAGTGGCAACGCATGGGAAGTATCATGGGCGAAACTGTATACTCTGTTATGTCCATGGTACTGCTCATGTCTATAGGCAACGGTTACCACTTTCCATCAGGTGGGCCGTCAGCTTGTTTGCCATTCTAAGTTGCATAAAAAAAAAAAAGACCTTAACTCTGTGAGAGAATTACTGTTATGTCACGTCACAAACCTTGGTGTACAGAGAAGGCGACGTAGAAGATCTCTCACATAAGCAGCAGTAGTAGTACTTAGTATTTTTACTCTGTGGTATTGTCCGTGTTGCTAGGCGGGTCCGAGCTCAGCGCGAACGGGGCGTTGCCCGAGGTGGAGGGCGACGAGTCCACCGCGCCCGCGCTCGACCTCTGCTCGGACAAAGACGCCTGCGTGCTCGAGCTGGACGAGGCGGAGGACGTGAGTGCATTTCGGGCTAATGTTATTTTTAATTAGCACAGGGGAATTACCTCAACATTAATTTTATTTACAGCTGAGAAAATTATATTTTTTTTTTATGGATGATAATGAATTGGTAACCCCGCCTGCGCTAACGGTATACGCTGGCGGGGCGCCAATGAGGGATGATAGGTGAGGGTGAAAAATCAGATCAGTTAGCCCATCGTGATGACTACATCTGGAATTCAGCACGATTATTTCCAGGGGGAACCACGTGGAGGTCGACCTGACAGGGCATATTGCTAGCAATAGGACTGGTAGTCTGCATTACTAACAACCAACAACGATTTTATTTTGTTTGTACTCTTGACACAATGAGTGTTGTTACTTTTTAACGCAGGTTAAATAGTAAAAGGTTCAATGGAGAGTCCATTGGATTTATTTAAAAATGTAAAGTACTTTATAGTCTTTAATAAATCTCCATTGATGCAACAACTAGTGACGTCCGTCGCATTCGGGGTTATGAGTCGTGACAGATTGCTGACATACTTGTAAGAGTAAAACAATACATGTGATGTTTTATCCAAACGTACAATATATCTATATAAGGAACAATCCTGTACCAACACGATTATCAGTAGGATGCGTGTTGCTGCAGGTGGAGACAGCGCGGTCGTTGGCAACGCGGCGGCTGCACACGCGCTTACCGTTATACGGCGCGGGGCTGCAAGCAAGGTCTGTGCCGCCGCACGCCTTCACGCAGGTCAGTAGCTGCTGTGCATGTGTGTGTGTGTGTGTGTGTGTGCGTGTGCGTGCGCGCGTGCGTGTGCGTGTGTGTATGTGTGTGTGTGTGTGTGTGCGTGTGTGTGTGCGTGTGTGTGTGCGTGTGTGTGTGTGTGTGTGCGTGCGTGCGTGCGTGCGTGTGTGTGTGTGCGCGCGTGCGTGTGCGTGTTTGATCGTGTACTCATCATAATTGAGTGTAATACGTGTAAGTAATGCGGTGTGTTGCGCGTGGCAGGTGTGGCGTGCGCGGCTGCAGCTGGGCGCGCAGGGCGGCGGCGCGAGCGCGGCGGCCGAGCGGCACGTGGCGCGCGCGCTCGACGGCGTCGCGTACAAGCTGCGCCGCCTGCAGCCCTGCGCCGCGCTCGCGCCGCGCCTGCAGCTCGACCTGCCCGAGGTGACCGCGCAACCCTGGGCCGTGTCGCTCACGTGCCACTACCTACAGTATAAACTCTTTTGTCTGTAGTACCTCAAGGATCAATTCTGGGACCTTTTTTTTATTTGTAGTTAATACTAACATTTGCACTGATAATAAATAGAACAATGAAACAAAAAACAATAAAAGTAACTCGTACAAATTTTACTCTTTTAGGATGAAATTCAGTTAGTAGTATCCGGAGCGGCCATACCCTTAGTGGATCCAACGAAGCCCGACATCAACCAAACAGAAAACAGTCACATGCAAAACTCCAACCAGGGCCATAGCAATCAAGGCGGCGGGACGGGCGATGCTGACGATGACATATTCGCATTGGATGAAGAGCAGCTCGTGAAGACACAACAGACCGCCGAAGTACTTGATGAGAAGGCAGTTATTAATGCACAGGTATTTCTAATTTAATTCTTTATAGGAATAAATGCTTTTTATAAGACTTCGTATGTCAGACAGGCTGACAACCCTCCTGATGTTAACAGAACCATGGATATTGCAGATTCTAATATAGATGTGTATTGTCCGCAAAATATATTATACTTAACCAAATTTAACCATACTTTACCAAATAAGGGTAAATTTGATTAAAGTTGACTTAATTAAACTTGGCTATATTGATCAAACATATCTAGATCGAACTAGGTAAATTTTAACCAACTAAGACTAAATTCGATTAAACATAACCATATTTAGATGACTTAATGTGTGTATAAATATGCATAAAATTGACTTAATTTGATCAAATTTAAGTATACTTGCCTGACCTTGTCTATTTGATCTAATTAAACCAAAATTGATCAGACTTGACCAAATTGGACTATACTTGATCAATTTGGAGCAAATTTTTGTAAACTTAAGATAGTTTTTTGTTTTACAACACAGGGGGCAAACGAGCATGCAGCTCACCTGATGGTAAGTGACTACCGCCACCCATGATCACCCACAACACCAACGGCATTGCAGGTGTGCTGCCGGCAATAAGGAATATGCTCTTTTTTTGAAAGTTATAATGTCGTATCGGTTCGGAAATACTGCTGCTGGAAGTTGATTCCAAAGAGTGGCTGTGCGTTTAAGAAAGTGCTTTGAAAAACGCACGGTGGACCACTCGTCCAGATGCTTGGTAAGAAATTTTAGTTTATGACGGGTTGTACGATGGTGAAAATCAGTAGCAGGTATCAATCCGAACAACTCCTCAGAACACTCCTTATGATAAATTCGGTAGAAGATGCACAGAGATACAACATCTCTACGCAGTTTCAGTGGGTCGAGTCGGACAGTAAGACTCCAATCGTCAACAATTCTAGCTGCCCGACTTTGAATGCGGTCTAACGGAAGGAGTTGGTACTGTGGCGTTCCTGCCCATAGGTGAGAACGGTATTCCATATGTGGCCTGACTTGAGCTTTATACAGTTTCAGGCGGTGTTCCGGCGTGAAATACCGTCTCACCCTATTGAGCACGCCTAACTTTTTGGAAGCTATCTTAGCTTTTTTCTCCAGATGACCGCAAAACTGGACTTTGCTAGATATATTGACGCCAAGAATCCCCAGACTCGACTTATTATCGAGGGAAGTGCCATGAAAGTGAGGAGATTCGATAAACTGCGTCTTTTTTGCGGTGAACGCGCAGTCTTCTTAGGGTTGAAGTGTACAAGATTGCGTTCGCCCCAGATCAAAACTTGATCGAGTGAAGTTTCGATTTCAGACACAAGTCTGTTCCGGAGCTCATCGGTATATGCCCGCGAAATCTTTGCATAATGCATCCCCTGTACTGTTGTCTACATAGCAATGAATATTACTGATCTGAAACATATCATTGATATGCAGAAGAAACAGGGTCGGAGATAGTACACAGCCTTGCGGTACACCAGCATTCACAGGTTTCAAGTCAGAGCATGCTCCGTCGACTACTACCTTAATGCTACGTTCCTTGAGAAAACTGGCGATCAACTGCATAATCTTGCAGGCAACCCAAACGAAGGTAGTTTTGTAATTAGCGCTTTATGCCACACCCAATCAAAGGTTTTATCCAGACTAACGGCTAAGGCCTCTTTCTTATTCTCGATTACCGCTGCCCATCAGTATGTTAAATAAACTAAAAGATCACGTGCCGAACGTCCCTGTCGAAAGCCGTAGTGGCGATCACAGATGAGCTGGTGATCTTTTAGGTACCGGAGCAGTTGATAGTTAATGATTAATTCCATAACTTTCGAGAATAAGGAAGTGATAATTATGGGCCTATAGTAAGCTGGATCTGAGCGGTCTCCTTTTTTAGGGATCGGATGTACCAGGACAATCTTCCAAAAGTTGGGGACTTATACCTCATCAGGTATCATCTGTTATTCATCAATAACAGAGCCAAAAAAGACGCGTAAGAACCGGAGCCAACTCTAGCGCGTATGTCCTAAGCACAATTGGCGGAATACCATCGGGCCTACTCGACTTATAGATTTCAAGGGAGAGAAGTGCTCTACGCACTGATCTTTGCGTGAATTTAACATCCGGCATAGAGCTCTTACCCCGCGGGATGGTCGGCGGTGGTTTTTCCCCGTTATCCAACGTCGAGTTTGTCGCAAAGAGGGATCCAAGGAGATCGGATTTCTCTTTGGCGTTCAGAGCTAATGAGTTATCCTCCCTGGGCAATGGTGGAAAAGATGAATGACAGAAATTCCCTTGTGTAGTTTGGTACTATATTTTTTTTTTCATGGATGTTAATGGAATGGTAACGCCGCCTGCGCTAATGGTATACATTGGTCACTAGTAAGGGATGATACATGAAATTGAAAAGGCAGGTCAGTTAGTCCATCGTAATGAATACACTTTGAATTCGGCACGATGATTTTCAAGGGGAACCACGGGGAGGTCAACCTGTTAGGGTATATTGCTAGCAATAAGAGTGGTAATCCACATTACTAACAATCCCTTACCTCCGGGTACTATACGAGGTCTGTCCGGAAAGTTCGTATAAAAGTGTTCTGGAATGCGAGAAAGAGGAGTGGGGAGGCCAGGTAAGCGCAGGACCCCTTCCTTATGTCCCTAACAATGCTTCAGTTCTGGTCTGACCGCCGTGCGGTGCGAACTGGCTTGTCACGCCATCTGTGAAGTTACCTCTTAACGAAACCCCGTCGGCATGGAGCCCGCTTCCGTTGAAGAGCAGCGCGTCGTAATCAAGTTTCTCTCGAAACTCGGCAAGAATGGCCGTGAAATTTTTGCCGATCTAATTCGATAAGACATCCGGGGAACCACGAACAAAAAAATCAAGAAAATCCCGCTCAAATGTCAAGACAATGTTGATTGTTTTTTTCGATGTTCGGGGGATTGTCCATCAAGAATTCGTCCCTCCAGGCCAGACAGTTGATGGAAAATTCTACGTCGATGTGCTCAGACGCCTCAAAGCTCGTGTGGCACGAGTTCGTCCAGAATTGGCGCGAGAGGGGCGTTGGATTCTTCACCACGACAATGCCCCTGCCCACACCTCTCTTGTTGTCCGTGAGTTTTTGAGTAAAAATTCCATTACGGTGACCGAACACCCCCCCTATTCGCCGGATTTGGCCCCGTGTGACTTCTTCTTGTTCCCAAAAACCAAATTGGTACTTCGGGGGCGGCATTTGGGGGACATAAATGAGATAAAAAAAGCTACGACGGGGCAGCTGAGAAACCTACAACCAGAGGACTTTCAAGGAGCCTTCTCACAGTGGAAACGGCGTTGGCACAAGTGCATTATGTCACAGGGGGAGTACTTTGAAGGGGATAAAATTGATTTACCTGAATAATTGTAAAATAAAATTTTTAAAAAACTTTTATACGTACTTTCCGGACAAACCTCGTATTACTAACGCTGCTACGACCGGTGGCGGTGCAGGCGGTGCAGGCGGTGCAGCCGGCGGCCGTGGTGCTGACGGCGCTGAACAGCGTGCAGGGCGCGCGCGCGCGCGTGCGCGCTGCGGCTGCTGTGCGCGCTGGGCGGCTCAGCTGTTCGTGCGGGTGAGACCACCTGCGTGCTGCGAGACTGGGCGAGCTGGGCGGCTCAGCGGCTTCCTGCACACCTTCACCTGCGAGGTGAGTGCAGCGGCCGGCGGCCGGCGGCCAGTGCACGCGCGGCTGCTGTTCGTGCGGGAGACCACCTGCGTGCGCGAGCTGGGCCGGCGGCCAGCTCTGTTCGTGCGGGAGACCACCTGCGTGCGCGAGCTGGGCGGGCTCAGCGGCCTGCACACCTTCACCTGCGAGGTGAGTGCAGCGGCCGGCGGCCGGCGGCCAGTGCACGCGCGGCTGCTGTTCGTGCGGGAGACCACCTGCGTGCGCGAGCTGGGCGGACCACCTGCGCGAGGTGCAGCGAGGCGGCCGGGCGGCGCGGCTGCTGTTCGTGCTCAGCGGCTTCCTGCACACCTTCACCTGCGAGGTGAGTGCAGCGGCCGGCGGCCGGCGGCCAGTGCACGCGCGGCTGCTGTTCGTGCGGGAGACCACCTGCGTGCGCGAGCTGGGCGGGCTCAGCGGCTTCCTGCACACCTTCACCTGCGAGGTGAGTGCAGCGGCCGGCGGCCGGCGGCCAGTGCACGCGCGGCTGCTGTTCGTGCGGGAGACCACCTGCGTGCGCGAGCTGCGAGCAGCAGGCAGTTTGCAATGGACGTGCAAGTGCTACCATATTTTATTAATTAGAAATAATTACTTATATTTTTAAGAATTGCCCACTGAAAGACACATTCAAAGGAAAATATACATACATAACTGTATTTGCATTCAAGATTAACAACTTTCTAGTAAACTGACTGTAGTATTTAAACGCCACTGTTGAACTTGCAGGTGCTAGCGATAGTGCGCGCGTACACGGCTGCGCTAGGCGGCAATGCGCTCACATCATTCTACATCACGCAGCTCATGTTGCAAGACAACGCACATAAAAATCAGGTATGAGATAAATAACAAATAAATAAATATGTGATTCAACCGTAAAGCAGTTGTGTTTGCATGGCTGTGTTTCGGTTTGAAGGGTGGGATATGGCGTGAATTTACTGGGTACAGAGGAATAACACCTGAGTCCTCAGGAATGGCAACGCATGGGGGGTATTATGGGTGAAACAGTATACTCTGTTATGTCCATGATACTGCTCATGTCTATGGGCGACGGTTGCCACTTTCCATCAGGTGGGCCGTCAGCTTGTTTGCCATTCTGAGTTGTATAAAAAAAAAAACAAAATCTTGCGCAAACGCTGTTCCGAGTCTAAATTTTGCTAAAGGACTAGTGGGCAAAATTTACGCACAACTGACTTTTTATTTTCAATATAATGTGTCGGTCACCTATATCTGGTCACTATAAAGAAGGGATGACTTGTTAAATGCCGTTATTTGTAAATCTAACTGTTTATTATTAATGATTGGTATTTCTATTTCAGGGTCAGTGTCTTCTGTCTGTAGGCGGAGATGTGGTTCATATAACGTATTAAGGTAGTATCGAATTAGTGCATATCGAATTTGTACGGTGCAACCGGTCCTATACAAGTATCGCATAGCATATTGGCGATATCAAAGTACAGTCGCCTCCATAAATAAATGCTTATTATGGTACTATACATATAAAATATTGTTTAGTAGGTATAGTGCTATAATATTGTATGTACGTCATTTATTTATTTTGTAATATCTCAAATGAAGCTGTTATTAAAATAAGGTTAAATTTGTGAATTAAAGATATTTTGTTGAAAACAATTATACGGATCCTAAGTCAGTCAATGGCTATTTATACGTTCTTTTAAATTCGTTAGAATCTTTATACTAAATGTGAAATAAATAATAAAATTATTATCTATCTATTTTAAGAGGCAAATAGCACAAAATATCCTAACAAGAACTGGCACGTCATGGGAGTAACGAGAGATTTTTATGCTGAAGTAATTATGCACTTTATTTAAATAAACATAGTACTTGTATTTGGTTGACTACAATAAATATCATATTAGAGTACTTAGAAAGAAAAAAAAAAAACTAACAAAAACAAAACTAATTATATTGTTTTTTTTTTTTTATTAAATTAATAAGCAGTTATTATTAAAGTAATAAAAAAAAGTGTAGAGTTTTAAATCTTTGTCTTCATGTTTAATTCTGTATAACCAATACAATATAATTTTTTTTATTTTCTGTTAAATATATCAACACGTAACAATAATCCTTAGAGAATTATCTATAGAATATAATATTGTATGGAAAAATATGTAAAGTACATAATTACTAATGAAAATCAACATAAAAAAAATTACGTGGTGCATTACGCCTAGTTCAATTCATTTAGTCAACTTTTTATATACGTTATTGTCTTTAGATGTATAAATAATAATTATATGCTAAAATTAATGTGTCGTTTAAAATCGCAGCTGACTGTACTGTACTATGTCATTATTGATAAGAAAGAGAGACTGTCAAATTATTTATGTATAGGTATAAATGTAATTTTTTAAATGTCTTTTTAAAAGTGGACGAGAAAAACTGGGCTCATCACCATTAAGTTGACGAGTGAAGCGTTTGAAGTATGTATAGGGGTATTAAGTAGTATTTATTATGTGGTATTATATGGTATAAAAAATATTCAAATTAAATTAAGATAATGTATATGTACGTACATACATACATACTGCATATAGATATTACAACTCTGCATCTTCTACCGAATTTATCATGGGGAGTGCTCTGAGGAATTGTTCGGATTGATACCTGCTGCAGATTTTCACCATCGTACAACCCGACACAAACTAAAGTTTCATCCCAACCTATCTGGACGAGTGGCGTCGTGATCGTCGTATCTCCACCGTGCGTTTTTCAAGGCACTTCCTTCCACGCACAACCACACTTTGGAATCAACTTCCAGCAGCAGTATTTCCGAACCGATACGACAACATGACCTCTAAGAAAAGAGCATATTCCTTTTTAAAAGGCCAGCAGCACACCTGCAATGACTCGAGTGCTGCGGGTGATCATGGGCGACGGCAGTCACTTACCATCAGGCGAGCCGCATGCTCGTTTGCCGAATGTGTTATAAAAAAATATTAATATATAATATATTATTATACATACATAGCCATTGTTAAATAAGCATATATATATTGTCTTCCTGCTTCACTCGTCTATTAGGATGCGAGGAATCCTTTTTCTCTCGTCCATAACTTTAAATTGTTTAAGTAGGTTATAAATTATTATATTATTTTCCTTGTAAGATACTATCTTGAATGTATCCCCTTTTTGGTCCAGTGGTGTATTTGATTCGAGACTAACAGTGTCCTAGATATTGCAGGTCAAAGAAAAAAATAAATCTGTTTCAAGAGATTTTTGGCTCAAATCAAATAGTTAATTACCATCAAAGATTTTTTGGATATTTTTTCTATCACCTAAAATTAAACCTACGATAATTAAGATAAGAATCAAGTTAGTAAAGCAAACCCGCTGGGCCAAAAAGTACCCGCCTATTTCAATCGCAGAAACATGACAAATATAGGACTGTTTACTTACATCATGGTTGTTTACAACCTCACATGTTTTATGAACGGAACTTGACGCCTTAGATAAGTGGCCAATGAATCGATAGATACATTATCGCTACTGCATGCATGAGGTAGATCGAGCAACAATTTTCGACATCTTATATATACAATAACGAAATTATCTCTAGTGTATCAATAAATTTATCAATATCAATAGTCTAGTATATCAATATTTCTGTCTTGCACTACTACTGCCCACTCGCTACTTCCTATGCCACTGTGTTAGGTTGACTGGAAGAGATCTCTTTTAGAGATAAGTTCGCCTTTGCTAACATTGTTATTAACTTATTGTTGTTACTGTATGTTTTAGTGCAATAAAGAATATATAATAAATTCCTTTGCCACTTATCTGGGGTCGGTACGCTTCTAACAGCATGGATATAACTTATACGATATGATAACCGCATATGGATCGTTCATGAAACATGCAAAATATAGTATTAATTGTCTATTTAATCTAATATCATCGTCGTGAACTTATATTCGATATCTGAAACGCCAATCAGTAATAGAGTTTCATGTTTATAAGTCAATATTCTTTGGGATTGTTTAATCACGAACGGTTTTTCAGAAACCGCTGAAAAATGTTAGCAACTTAGTTTAAATTATTTTTTTTAAATATACAAATGCTCTCCGGAAATGAATTTATATTTTAGGCGCATATCATCGGCGCAGGTCGACATCTAATTAACTCAATTTTTGTAGTTGGTTTTCTCTGTAATGGTGTCGCCCTCTATTGGCTTAATTTCTGTGCCACCTTTGTTATACATGACTTTTCAGATGATATTACCTGCCCCAAAAAGTAGAAAGCGAGTGGTAATTTAATTTCGTGGTAAATTTAATTAAATTAAATTATTTTTAAATGATTCATACGTGAATTTGTAAAAGAAGTTTAGGTTATAATTCGATCTTAGAATTATTGAGATAATTGCTGTCAATTTATAAAAAAAAAACCGTCATTATTTCAGCCATTATCTGTCCACTTCTGAACATTAGCCTCCCCCATAGACTGCCATAAGGAACGGTCCTGAGCCACCTGCATCCACTGGCTTCTTCCAATGAATTGGTCAAGAATAGCTGATCCGCCGAAGACTGGGGGCCGTTTCTTTTTGGTGTTTACCTCTGGGAGGTTTTGCCTGTATTTGCCACGCTTGGCAGGCGGATTGGCAATGTTTTAAATTTTATAAAAAAAAAATACCTCCAACCTTATATATGATAAATATTGAGTTAATTCTTAGCCTACGCCGATGATAATAACCATATTGTTCTCTCTATTGCAAATACTCTTTAAATTGTCTTGCCATTTTACTTAGGTACAAGCTACATGTCTAAATCGCATGTTTTTTGATGTGTATTTTAGTAGAAACGGGGAATCGGACCTCATGAATCCTCATGAATCATGACCTAGTACTTAAACCCGCTTGCGCTATCGGTATACGCTGGCGGGGCACCAGTGAGAGATGATAAATGAGGATGAACTCAAATGAGCATCGTGACGAATTCACCAAGAATTAACCACGATGGTTTCTATGGAGACTGTATGTTTTTTTTTAATGGATGATATTGGAATGGTAACTCCGCCTGCGCTAACGGTATACGCTGGCGGGGCACCAGTGAAGAATGAAAGGTGAGAATGAAAAAGCAGATCAATTAGTCCATCGTGATGAATACACCTGGGAGAATTCAGCACGATGGTTCCCAGGGGGACCACGTGGAGGTCGACCTGAAAGAGTATATTGCTAGCAATAGGACTTGTAGTCTGCATTACTAACAATCCCTTTCCCCTCTTGGGGACTATATGGAGATCGACCTAACAAGGTATATTGCTAGCAACGGGGCCGTTAGTCCCCGCTATAGACAATCCATCCCCCGAGCATATATGGATTAGTGTATGGTGCTATACATTGTAATTCTCAATGTAAAACTGTTCAATGCTTAATATTAGCAACGTGTAAACTGTGCAGTAAAATTTATATAAACTATTATTTCTTTAGACGTTGAATTTGGAGCTCTTTATCCAATACATTAAGGTTTTGATTTGTACAATAAAGTGTAATCGAATTGCGTTTCATTTGATACGCAACCGATGGATTCTTTTATGTTTGTTTTTAAAACTTTTTTTTGAATACTATTTTTTATTGTGCTATTTTTTATTGATTATACCATCTATGTATGTATTTTTTTTTTCTATATTTGGCATACTTTTTAAACTATGCGATTGTCCATTTTTTTCGTAATAAAAAAAAATAAATCAAGAAATAATATGGAATACATAAAATTAATACAAAAAACTATCTGTTTATGTACAACAATTTTTAAATTTTACACCGCATAATAACTTTTCTGTTTTGCCAAATGTTGACTGGGAGAGAATGCTATATAGCATTATATCTGCTTTTTGTACTAAACATTTTTTTTTGTAATGTGGTCAATAGAAAATAAATAAATAAAAACTCTATTCAATTTATTCATTTTATGTACTGTTATTTCAATTAAAAGATTATTAAATATGTCAAGTATAAAGAAAAAAATATTATACTCCCAGTTTAAAAATAATGGTTATACTTGTTTTTCACCTATCTTTACATTTTTATATAATATCGTAGATTATCAAATATAATAGATACGATTAGGAATGGTACTGCATTTGAGAATGAAATGTTTTGAGAGGGAAATGGAGTTGTGTCATTGGTCATTAGCAGGGCTAAGCAAGAATGGGGTCGCTTCTGAAGCATCATTCCTTTAAACTACTACTAATAGACTAAAAACTATTTTTAAACATAAAATTTGATATCACAACGAAATTTTTATTTTAAGGAGTAATATGAACTCTATTTAATTTTTTTTTTTAATGGGTGATAATGGAATGGTAACCCCACCCGCGCTATCGGTATACACCGGCGGGGCACCAGTGAAAGATGATAAGTGAGGATGAAGCAGGTCAGTTAGCCCATCGTGACGAAATCAGCAAGATTGTTCACGATGGTTTCCAGGGGGAACCACGTGGAGGTCGACCTAATAGGGCATATTGCTGGCAATGGGGCTGTCAAACTCCATTGCCAACAATTCCTTTCCCCCCATTTAAAATATATTAAAGTCAAGATTATTCTTAAATTAGATTATGATGGTCTATTAGACTGTAATTTCGAAAAATTATCGAATTAAAATTTTAGGTTTAGAGAAATGACTCATCAAAATCGGCCCCAATAGTTATACTCAAAAATAGTAATACTTTTACTCAGTGACATTGCAGAAAGCCCGTGATGCAGCGGGAGAGCTTCCAGGGGTCGCTGCACTTTAAAAAAGATGTAAAATATAAATTTTACTTTTTTTTTTTATTTTAAAGTGCACAAACTGTACTTAAAATAAGAACCAAGCTTTCATTTTTCTCATTAATTATTTACAAAATTCAGTCAGTGCCATTTCCAATACGTATCTTTATTGCGTTTTGGATGTTTTTACGTATTTTATCTATTTATACATGTGTGATATTAGCATGAAAATATACTGTGGTAAAATACTTGTTTGAGTTTTATTTGAAACTTAAAACGTAGATGTGAGTTCTTTACTTGAATAAGTTTTACCTAAAAGCGCTTTTAGACATAAATGGATAGTGTATATGTCGCCTTTTTGGAATTTATTTATTTAAGAACAGCCATAATAATATAATAAGCATACTTTAATAATATAATAACCAGTGGGAGACTTTGTACAAAAGTCGATTGCTTGGGTACCTCTGTCCCATTCGTGTTTCAACCGTGAAGTAGTTGTGTTTGCATGGCTTTATTTCGGTTTCAAGGGTGGGATATGGCGTGAATTTATTGGGTACAGAAGAACAACACCTGAGTCCTCAGGGATGGCAACGCATGGGGGGGGGGGGGGTATCATGGGCGAAACAGTATACTCTGTTATGTCCATGGTACTGCTCATGTCTATAGGCGACGGTTACTACTTTCCATCAGGTGGGCCGTCAGCTTGTTTGCCATTCTAAGTTGTATAAAAAAAAAAACATTTATATCAACTTAAAATACATGATAATATGGTTATGTACATTATAAAATGCTGCCTTAATTAAATAATTAATATAATAATTTAGAAAATGGAACATTTGTTCCATATGAGAAAATTGACAATATATTAAGAGGTTTGTTTCAACCAACTTTAAAAAGGATTTTAATGTTTGTTTCCTCAGAAGTTAGTTGTTTGTAAACTGATTTGGGATTTCTTTTATCTGAAAGGACATACAGTTCGGTCACATAGAAGTTTTATCAAAATCGGTTTAATATTTCAGTTTTTAAATCAAAATAACTGATTTTGTTACAATTGAAGTATTTTTTTTATAGAACACTAATTTATTAGTTGTTTTACAGTCTAGAGTAAACATTTTTCAGTTACATTGGAAAAATATAATGAATTACATCGCAAATGACACACAGATCGTGGAGCAATGAAAATATCTAAAAATAAGACCGTTATCGATCGATAATCTATACCTATTGTTAAACTTTTCAAACTAAAGAATAGTATTTAAAGAGAGCAAAGGAAATTCCAGAAACTTCCAACTAAGTGATAACTAAGCAAATAATTCAAGTAACCGTTATTAATTTCAACTAAGTAATTTTATAGCATACTCGATAATATCTAAAACTTAACGACTTTTGAATTAGTACTTTGAAAATTAATGCCTCAATTTATTGCGGCTTATAAGGCCACAGTGGCATTTTCAATAAATTGTGTTGAACTATATAAGGCCATAGTGGCATTTTAGATAAACTGTGTTTAACTATTAGATATTTGTTAATTCAATACATTAAGTAGATCTCTCTTTTGTTATTTACGAGTTCTCTCTTGTCGGTGCAACTAATTCATACATTTTCTTCCAGTCAGCTCGATGCCATGTCATATCTTTGACCTCCCTATACGACATAACATCTAGTGTTTCCTTTATCAGCCATTAAGTTTCCACTGCTGAACATAAGCCCCCTCCATAATTGGCGGGATTTGCCAGAAGTTTTCACGCTTGGCAGGCGGCTTGGCAACCGCAGTTAAGCCTTTAGTGATGTTTTAAGAGGTACGCTGCAGCCTATCCCTCGACCACAAGTTCCCTTAGTCGCCTCTTACGACACTCAAGAGAAAGGAAGGGGTGATCTATTTTATGCCGGAACCTACACGGCGATTTATTTATTTATTTTTTATTGCTCAAAATAATACATTTATACAATTTATTTATTTATTTATTCATTAAAAATAATTATAACATTATAACAGCAAAAGCCAAATCAATGTTATAAACCTAGTATGCTAATATACAAAGTTATAATAAATGTATTTAACCCGACTAAATATTTCTGAGCCGCTTCTAATATCTTTGGCAGGGGGGAAAGGGATTGTTAATAATGGAGACTGATAATCCCATTGCTAGCAATATACCCAACCAGGTCAACCTCCTCGCGGTTCCCCCTGGAAACTATCATGATTAATTCCTGATGAATTCATCATGATTGGCTAACTAGCCTGTTTTCATCCTCATCTATCACCCTTCACTGGTGCTCCGCCAGCGTATCCCGTTAGCGCTGATGGGGTTACCATACCATTTTCACCGATCAAAAAAAAAATCTTTGGCAGGCTACTACTAAATATATCAATGGTGTTTATAATATTGCCATATGGCATACTCTACCAGCTAAGGAGGAAAACTGAAAATACATATATAGGACAATGAAAAAGCTGTAATTCTGACATCAACTACCTGATTCTCAAAGTAGGATTACCTTATAAGAAACTTGAATGGACATTTAAGATCCCTTTTATGGTATAAGTTCGCTATTATATTCATTCTTTGCATGAGAACTCTGTGTCCTCTAAGATTTCAGTCTAAAATAAAGTGTAACAAATGAACAAACATTTGGAATAATAACAACACTGAGGCCTGATAATTTGAGACTGTACAAAAGTCGTTGGCATGGGCACCTCTGTCTCATTCGTGTTTCAAATATGAAGCAGTTATGTTTGCATGGCTGTGTTTCGGTTTGAAGGTTGGAATATGGCAGTGAATTTACTGGGTACAGAGGAATAACACCTGAGTCCTCAGGAATGGCAATGCATGGTCTAAACTGCTACATGGTACTGCTCATGTCTATAGTCGACTGTTACCACTTTCTTTCAGGTGGACCATCAGCTTGTTTGTTATTACTAAGGTAAATAAGAAAAAATATTGAGAATTTATTTTCCAAAGTTAGTTCAACCCAGAAACTAGATCGGGACCTCATTTTAGCAATTTTTATAATCGTGATAAGCGGACCGTTAATTTTTAGAGACAGCAAAAAATTTGAATAGACATTTGTCAAAGGGGGGGGGGGGGAGGGAATGTTAGTTTAATTAATAAGTTAAAAATATAAGTCTAGCAATGGATCTAATAGACCCATTGTTTGCAATATAGAGGTCGACTTTCACACGGCTCCTCCTGGAAACCATGGTGGTTAATTCTTATAGAATTCACCACGATGGACTAACTGAGCTGCTTTCATCCTCACCTATCATCTCTCGCTAGTACACCGCCAGCGCATTCCATTACAACCCATTAACGTGTGACGGTTTTAAAATAAAAATCCTTGAGCTTGTCATAAATATGTATTTATTTAAAACATTACAATAGTCTTATTTATAAAATGAAATGCCACAAAATGTTGACAACAAGATTATTAATTACACCTTACAATCTATAATACTTTCAGCAATAAATACATCCTTCATATACGTAGCCTAAGTTTGTAACTATTCAATTTGGAGAGAGAGGTTTAACGTCATACAATCGCAGTGTTCCGGATACCCTTACATAGACTCGAACATTTAAAATAACACCGAACTTACCTAAGAAAGGAACTTTTAATATATTTTTTTTTTTGGACGAAGTAAAACTAGTTTATTTCACATTATTGAACGAAATGAAAGCAAATATATTCAAGCCACGTCGCTGCGAATCGGTTGCGTTATGGATGCGTGGAGGCGGCGGGCGCGCAGCGGTCGCGGGACGCGTCAGCGGCGACGGCCGAAACGCAGGAACGAGTGCACGACGTCCTGCCGCTTCATACCGGTGTCCAGCAGTTGTGGGTAGTCGCGGACTAGAGCTGGAAAACATTGTGTTTTTATGTTACTTTAAATGACAAGCAAGTTGATGGCGTACCTAATGAATAGTGGTAATCGTCGCCTATTACTGGAACAGTACCATGGATTAAAATATCATAGATGCCAATAAAAGCAGGTCAGTTAGCCCATCGTGTCGAAATCCACTGGATTTAACTACGACGGTTTCCATTTCCAGTTTCAACCGCGCGGAGCTCGACTTGATAGGGTATATTGCTAGCATAGAGCAATTAGACCCTATTACTAATAATCACCCCCCCCCCCCCAGTCTAAGATGTCAGGTCTCCATACATCCGTTATTTCACACTTAAACCAAAGCAGGCATGCAAGCACAACTGTAAAAATATGACTAAAATATGAGTGTACAAGCAGTCGTCTTTTGTATAAAGTCTACCTTTGAAAATGGATAAATATATTCAGAGGCTTGAAATAACTCCGTCTCGTTCTTGACGTAATATTTACGTGATGAACATGATAGAAATATTATGACGGCATGAATAAGAAACTATGATATGCACCTTGGTACTCTGGCACCTGCTCGCCAGCGGCCTCAGCATAAAGCTCCAGGAAGGTGTTGAGTGCTTGACAGAAACGCGCCGCGCGGGGGTCCCCCTCGGCTGCGTCGGCGCACAGCGGCGCGGGCGCGGACAGCGCTCCCAGCGCATACCACGACAGCACCAGGCACACTACTGCCACACGTGACGAGTCTCTGTTGACAAGCGAGACCGACAGATGTGATTAATGATAGTAGACAGTGGACCACACAAACAGGTTTCTTATTAGATGATAATGGAATGGTAACCCTATCTGCGCTATCGGTATACACCGGCGGGGCACCAGTGAAGGATGATAGGTGAGGATGAAGCAGGTCAATTAGTCCATCGTGACAAATTCAACAAAAAATGTTCAACGATGGTTTCCAGGGGGACCATGTGGAGGTCGACCTAATAGGGCATATTGCTAGCAATGGGACTGTCAAGCTCCATTGCTAACAATCCCTTTCCCCCGACCACACGAACAGTACATGCATATATCTATCACGCCTATGTTCTATCAGAGTAGGCAGAAACAATACAACGCCAGATGCTTCGATTCAAACAGGACTCTTTCACATTGCAATATTATTAAAAATATTATTAAAAAGTAAGTTTGTTTGTTACATTATAGCACCTTAACAGCTTAACCAATCGTTACGAAATTTAAGATAGGTACACCTAGTATATAGGCTGGAGTAAGACCTAGGCTACCTTTATTCTAGTCAAAGAACATATCCTGGTCACGCGGATAAAGTCGTGGATAAGAGCTAGTGTACCTATAAGTCATTGATTTGGTATAGCGACGTTCGTAAATAACAAATGAAGCGTAGAAACTCTTCACACTAGAGGCCGCCACCTTCACACGTTGAGTAAATTAGTAAGTATTGTAATATAAATTGATAAAATAGTTAAACAGTAGTACCTATGCTGAAAATGATGTATGGGTCCAAATCTTGACTACTTCGCAAACTATTTATGGAAATTAATCATTTTAACTACTAGTATAAATGCAAAAATTTACGAGTATGGATGGATGTTTGTTACTCTTTCACTCAAAAACTACAGAACGAATGAACGAATGAAACTTGGTACAAAGACAGATTATATCATAATTTAAATAGGATACATAGATTATAAAGATTCACGGGCAGAACTGCGGATTTATTTATTTATGACTATTTAGACTGACTATTTAATTATATATATAAATTAAATAATTCCTTTCAGGTTCTTAAGGTTAACTAGAAAAATCTTTTAATGGATAAGTCTACCTATATATCTACATTTTCGTTATAACTTAAATATTAAAAATGAATCTACAAAAGCATGTAAATAAAAAAAAAAAGTAGATTTAATTATAACACACCGCTACTAAAAGAATCACACAAAACAATCCGCGTTTTATACATTTTAACAGTGGTAAACAAAAGATTTAAACATCTTTAAATTTTTTCACAACAGTCCCGAAACAAAGACTTGAAACTTTACCAATAACTTCATAAATACCTCACTGAATAACATGAAACAGTGCAATGTTTTTATTCGGGGGCCCGGAAAAATTAGGTTACGCGGAAGTAAATTTGCTCGGCCACAAAAAGTTTTTTACTTTACAAAAACATCATGACAATAGACAAAATATAAAGATATTTGGATATAATCTGTAGTACAGATAAAGAGATCGATTAAAAATTTAAAAAAAATCGATTTTTTTAAGAGCGTCAATACTTTATCACATAATTGTATCATAATTCAAATCAAATTGTCGTCACCTCGCATTTATCTGTCATTATCAAAAACTAATGAACAATTTTGTAGGTATTCTTAATTCCAGGCCTTTAAGTTTATTGTCAACTGATCCCTCCGAGATGACTTTTTTAACACCTGGTCATTTTCTTGTGGGTTGCGCATTACATAGTTTTCCGTAACCTGATTCAATTTCTATTCCTAATAATCGTTTAAAGTTTTGGCGTAGTTGTGAACAAATACGCCAACATTTCTGGCGGGCCTGGTCTAAGGATACCTTCAATTTCTGTAAACACTGTACAAAACTGCTCGTATGTAAATATTTTATTTCCAACTACTCTTTTAAAATGATGCTTTGCAGATTTGACAAATTTTCAATGTTTCTTATTGATTATTTAAAAAGTCGTATAAATCCCGGCATAGAATAGGCCACCCCTTTCTTTTCCCGTGGGTGTCGTAGAAGCGACTAAGATGGGCAGCAGCGTCCCTCTTAAAATACTACCAAAAGCCAAAATGTGGTTGGCAACCCGCCTGCTAAGCATGGCAACTATTAGCAAAACTCCCCATTATAGGGAAGCTCTATTTAACAGTGAAAACATTTAAAAAGTGCTCTTCTAACGAACTGAAACATGAATTATGCAATATGGATTCTAGTGGTAAAAAAGTAATTGTAAATTTCCGAATATGATATTAATTCCGAATTTCCAATATGAAGTAGGTATATATATATATATATATATATATATATATATATATATATATATATATATATATATATATATATATATATATATATATATATATATATATAAACTTTTGACTATAGACATGAGCAGTACCATGGACATAACAGATTATACTGTTTCGCCCGTGATACCCCCCATGCATTGCCATTTCTGAGGACTCAGGTGTTATTCCTCTGTACCCATTCACACCATATCCCACCCTTCAAACCGAAACACAGCCATACAAACACAGCTGCTTCACAGTTGAAACACGAATGGGACAGAGGTAGCCAAGCAATCGACTTTTGTACAAAGTCTCCCTCTGGTAAATCTTTATGTTTTATGTTACACGACATATTTATCAATTTTATCTTTATGACATTATTTGTGGTGAGATCTAAATAAAAAAAAAATGCTTTATATAAATTAGTAGATAAACAACTATCAGTAATACTAAATCCTATGTTAATTTGTGTATGCATATATATGGTAATACGAATCTTGTTCCCTACAGGACACGCTCATCCTAAAGTAGGAATCAATGATAAATTCTGTGCTTATACAAACATACTTTGTTAAATAAACACATCTTTATATATATTTTTTTTCTTTTAATGGGTGATAATGGAATGGTAACCCCACCCGCGCTATCGGTATACACCGGCGGGGCACCAGTGAAGGATGATAGTTAAAGATGAAGCAGGTCAGTTAGCCCATCGTGACGAAATCAGCAAGAATTGTTCACGATGGTTTCCAGGGGGAACCACGTGGAGGTCGATCTAATAGGGCATATTGCTAGCAATGGGGCTGTCAAACTCTATTGCTGACAATCCCTTTCTCCCTACATCGTTATATTATCTTTATGAATTCAAAACCGATTTTGATAATTCCTAAGTCCCCTATAAGTATTATTATAATAAAACCCTTGCATAACAATCTCTGAAACTGTTTGTATTGTATAAAATGTTAAATTATTGTGTTAAAATATTGTTGTGTTAAAATATTGTATGATATGTATCATCAGTTGATGCGTACTGATTGCTTGTCAAAGCCACCGGTTCATTACACAGTGACGAGGAAATGCACCCCACGTTTTTTCACTTACGCGCCAAAAATATATTTGTCATCTTGAAATTTTGTATAACGTACGGGACCCATTAGCAGCTTTTTAACACATAAGAAAATGTACTACCAATGGAATTGAAGGTTTCTCTCCAAGAAACATGGTGGATGGAAAAATGATAAATAAAAAAAAAACATGTTCTTTCTTTTTTTTTTATGCAACTTAGAATGGCAAACATGCTGACGGCCCCCTTGATAGAAAGCGGTAACGGTCGCTTATAGACATGAGCAGTACCATGGACTATTATGTCCATGTATAGAGAATTATATCATGGACATAACAGAGTATACTGTGTCACCCATGATACTTCACAAGCGTTGCCAAGCCTGAGAACTAAGGTGTTATGCCTCTTTAGCCTGTAATTTTATTGACATATCCCATCAAACTGAAACAGTCATGCTAACACAATTGCTTCATGGAAAAAACACGAATGGGACAGGGTATCCCAAGCAAACGAATTTTGTACAAAGTCTGCCAGTGGTTTTTAGACATTTCTGGTTGTATAGATATTTTGAAGCAACGTTCACAGTTTAATATCGTTAATAGGTAAGGATTGCTAGCAATGTTATACATACTGTCAGATTACACCTAACGCATCCCTTCCTAGACTCTACCATCACCAATTCCGGCGGGAGTCATTAAAATGAGCTGAGGTGACTTCATCCCCGCCTATCAACATTGTTGCTCTTAGAAGTGAAAAAAATAATAATTAAAAGACTGTATTTTACAAAAAACCGATTTCAACTGTGACAAACCCAGATTATTTAAAAATTAAACTGCTAAACCGACTGACAAAGTTTTTTTAATAAATTTTTTGATAAAATTAACACCGATTTTGATAAATTTTCTATTGGACCTCTCTGTAAGTATATCTTCTCATATAAAAAAAAAATTTCAAATCGATTTACAGTTAACGGAGTTATGAGGTTACAAACATAAAAATAAATATGATCGAATCGAAAACCTCCTTTTTTTAAGAATTCGGTTGAAAAGAGTACATATATACCTACTTAAAGCTTATTGGGAAGAGTAAGAAAAACAAAAAAAAAAAAAAAACAAATTAGAGGAACACAAAAAAATGTGTCGCAGTCACGCTCACGACTTGAAATGGGTCTGAAGCATTTTAATTGACCCACTTCCACTACGTCTGGGTAATGTCCACTACGAGCTCCTGTGACGTCGAACGGATATAATTAATTAATCAATGTCGGTTTTCTTTTAAATTAAATTTTTTATATGTTTTCAATTCAATCTATTTGTTATACTACGCATATTTTAATTAAAATTAATTTTTTTTTTTATGAAACTTAGAATAGCAAACAAGCTGACGACCCACCTGATAGAAAGTGGTAAACGTCGCCTATAGACATGAGCAATACCATGGACATAACAGAGTATACTGTTTCGCCCATGATACCCCCCATGCGTTGCCATTCCTGAGGACTCAGGTGTTGCTCCTCTGTACCCTGTAAATTCACTGCTATATCCCACCCTTCAAACCGAAACACAGCCATGCAAATACAACTGCTTCACTGTAAAACACGAAGAGGACAGAGGTGCCCAAGCATATGACTCTTGTACA